GAAAACTCCGAAGAAATCGCGGCATTAACGGCGGAACGTACCTCCCTGCAAAATGACCTCGCACGAGCACAATCCCAAGCACCTGGCACTCCGATTCAGCCCGCACCACAGACATCGCAACACGCAAGTGTGGGGCAACCCGTGAGCGCCGCAACTGATGGCGTCGTCCGCCATGAAGGAGACGACGACCACGGCACGACAAACCCCGACGCGACGAATGCGGCCAGGAATCAGCCTCGAGTCACTATTTCTATGCCGGCCGGCGAATCAGCTCTTCCGTCGCCGATGCTGTTGAAGCCGCAGCGTCCGCCATGCTTTGACCCAAGTCAGCGGGGTGGTCCTACCGTTCAGGCGTGGCTTTAAACGTTGAACGTTTTCTTGGCGCCAACGTTGAACGTTGAACGTCTGCGCGCCCGGTTTGAGCCAATTGCGGCTTCAATCGCGGCGCGACACAGGCTCCGCACTTGGCGCCAACTCGGTTCCGTCCAGGATTACACGAGCGGGTTTCTGGCGCTATGCGAGCAGGTGGAATATATGCACGAGAGCGAACGCATCGACCGCTACATCGGCGGCCTGAAGCAGGACATCGCTCAGGAAATCCAGCTTCGCGGCGTCACGGACTTTCAAGAGATTCTCGCCATGGCGGAGAAACTCGATTTCTTCCGCCGGCCGAGACCGGGGTCCTACGAAAGCAGCAATTGGGGACATCGGCCTTGTGGGACGAACGAGGGCGCTACGATACGTGCCGTCGCCGCAAATGCCGCTACCGCACCGTTCAAAGGGCGCTGCTTTGCGTGCAATCGGCCGGGACACCGCAAGAGCGAATGCCCGGAAAATGCTAAGGGAAAGGGGGAAGTTGAGCAGCAGAAACAGACCAAGCAGCAGGGAAACGCTGGGAGTCAGTAGCAGACGGGCCCTCTACTGACAGGTCACGCCGCTCGCCCGACCCAACCGACCCTCACCGAGTGATTGTGCCGGTTCACGCAATCGACCACACCCGGCCGAATAAGGAGGGTACTACGGTAGACAGCCCTATACTACTTAGTGGGAAAATCGGGACGGAATTAGTTAAAATCTTCGTAGACGGAGGGGCCAGCCACAGCCTTATCAACACTGCCACAGCATGAAAACTGCGACTGACACTAGACAGATGCTTACCTGAGATCAACGCAAGACTGGTCGACGGCACGCCACTGGCGATACGGGAACACGTGGACCGAGTTCGGATTCGATGCGGGGGTAACTTCACGTTTAGCCAGGAAATGCTCGCAACGACCCTCGACGGGACCGATATTTTACTCGGGTGCGATTGGCTGCGACGACACAATCCGCGAATCGACTGGACGACGGGTGACTGCACTGTGCGAGTGAACGGTAACAACATCGCCTTACCTCGCTGGGGCTCGCCTGAGTCTTCGTCGGTGCGTGTCAACGCGATCACAATGAAACGCGCCGTAGCGGCAGGAGCTGACGTGTACGCGGTTGACATTCGGGAAGCCGAGGTAGCAGACAAAGGAGGGGATTTACAGAAACTGCTGGCCGACGTATAGAGTGATCTGGCAGCACTGTTGAAGCAGTATAGTGACAGTTTCCCGGACGACCTTCCGACGGGACTGCCACCTCAGCGACCGCACGACCACAGGATAGAACTAGAACCAGGGGCACAGCCGACAGTACAGCGACAGTTCCGACTGACCCAACCCGAACTGGACGAACTAAGGAAGCAGCTGGATTACCTGCTCGATAAGGAGTTCATTCGCCCTAGTTCGTCGCCCTTCGCAGCACCAATACTGTTCACACCAAGAAAAGACGGGGGTTTTCGCATGTGCATAGACTACAGAGCACTGAACAGGGTTACCATAAAATCCCGTTACCCCATCCCGCGAGCCGGCGAACTGATCGACCAACTGCGCACAGCCCTCGTTTTCTGGAAAATCGACCTTCGAGGAGGTTACCACCAGATTCGCGTCAACCCACCCGACTGCCCTAAGACAGCCTTCCGAACACGCTACGGATCCTTCAAATACACCGTCATGCCCTTCGGACTTACCAGCGCCCCCGCCACTTTTCAAATGACCATGAACGAAGCCTTCCGCCCGCTTTTAGATAAGTGCGTCATCGTATACCTGGACGACATACTGATTTACAGCCCCGACAGAGCACAGCAGTTACAGGACATCGAAGCAGTCTTTAAGATACTGAGTGAGAACCGCCTACTGACAAAAGCGTCTAAGTGTGAGTTTTTACAGGACCGACTGGAGTTTTTGGGACACGTTATTTCAGCTGCAGGAGTGGAAATAGACCCGAAAAAAATCGCGACGATTCAAGCATGGCACGCGCCGACCAACTTGACCGAGTTGCAGAGTTTTTTGGGGTTCGTCAACTACGTGCGCCGGTTCGTCCCCGACATGGCGAAGCTGACTGCCCCGTTGACCGACCTGCTGAGGAAGGGGGTTGAGTACACGTGGGGGGAGAAAGAGCAAGCTGCCTTCTCGGCCCTCAAAAACATTTTGTGCTCACCGCCCGTACTTCACATCGCAGATCCGCACCGTCCGTTCGAACTCGTCACCGACGCTAGCGACATCGCCGTGGGAGCAGTACTGTTGCAAGACTTCGGGAACGGCCTCCAGCCAATCGCGTACGAGTCCCGCAAGCTTCACCCGCCCGAGCGCAACTATCCGATACACGACCGCGAAATGCTGGCGATCGTGCACGCGTTCAAGGTGTGGCGATGTTACCTCACGGGAGCAGACGTGACAGTACGGACAGATCACCGATCACTACAGTACCTTCGTGCCCAGCTGAATCTCAACCCACGACAGATCCGCTGGTTGGACTATCTGGAGTCCAATTTCCACTATACAGTCACGTACAAAAAAGGCGCATCCAACATCGCCGACGCACTCACACGCCCCACCGCCCAACTCCACGCCATCCTACTCGCCCAAACCAGCCCACTATTAACGGGTCCATTCACCCACGGATACAGTACCGACCCGTTTTTCACAACCGGAAATTCACAGCAACTGGCAGAGGCCAAAGGAGTCTATTACGTAAAAACAGGCACCAACCGCATCTGGGTACCCGCGCACCTACTACTGAGAAAACTGTTACTGCAGGAGGCACACGACGGGATTATCTCGGGACATTTCGGGGTAGAAAAAACACAACAGCAACTACAGCGGTATTACTAGTGGCCAGAGCTGTTGACCGACGTGCAGCACCACGTGGGCTCGTGTCCTACGTGTCAGGTGATGAAGAGCTCGCGAAAAAGAAAGGCGGGTCAGTTGCAGCCGATTCCACCGCCTGAGCGCGCCTGGCAGCAGGTTACCATGGATTTCGTCACAGGGTTACCTTCAAACCCTGGGGGTAACGACGCAGTTATGGTCGTCGTTGACAGGTTGACGAAGATGGCACACTTCGCTGCGTGCAAGAAATCGATCTCAGCCGAAGAAACCGCTCGCCTGTTCATCGCAGCCGTCGTTCGACTACACGGGATACCAGCCGCGATAATCAGCGACCGCGACACGAAGTTCACCAGCAACTTCTGGAAGAACCTATGGGAGCAGTTCGGGACAAGGCTACAGTTCAGCTCGTCGTACCACCCCGAGACCGACGGTCAAACGGAGCGGACGAATCAGACGATGGAGCAGTTGATTCGTGCCACGTGCGACGACCCGACCACATGGGAGCAGCAGCTACCGCTGATCGAGTTTGCGTATAACAACGCCACGTCAGCGACGACGCAGCAGTCCCCGTTCTACCTGAACTACGGGCAAAACCCTTTAGTGCCCATGACGCCAAGTCCGGACAACCCAACACCACGTGCACAACAATTCGCCGAAATTCTGCAAGCTGTCCGCACCAGAGCCGCAGAGGCAATTAAAAAAGCCAACGCCATCACTAAGCGCAACGCTGACTGCCACCGCCGCCAAGTCACGTACCTGTCAGGAGATTACGTATTGCTCGACACATAGAACTTAAGACTGCCCGTCGTACCGAAATTGAGACCCCGCTACTGTGGACCATTCCAAATCAGCCACATGATTACCCCAGTGACTGCCCACCTACTGTTACCAATGGACTGGTACATCAGCCCTTCATTCCACGTCAGCCTACTTCGCCCCTACATCCCAACCACAAGCCAACTGCCTCGTCACCGCCCGCCATCCATGACTCGCCCTGCATCGGAGCCAATCATCGAGCCCGAAAAAATCATCAGCCATCGGATTCGACACCCCACGGGAATCAGGAGGATTGAATTCCTCGTTCGCTGGAAGGATCGCACGCCAACTGAGGATAGCTGGGTGCCCCTGGCCAACATCGAAAACCACCCTGCCCTGCAAGTGTACCTGAGGAGCCGGGGTTTTCGCGATATACACGCACTCGCGTAGCCGAGGGGGCTTCTTGAAGGGGGGGGTAGTGTAAGGAATTTTCTCGATATTCCTTAGCGCGCCCTGCAACATCGCGGACAGCAGCAGCCATTGTTCGCCCGTTACTGCTAACGGGGCTTCGCCGACTTCGCGCGCACTGTTTTCCCAAACCTCGCACTGCTGGACCGGCCATGTCGGCCTACGCTTCGAGACTAGCCCGAGCCTCGCTTCCAGCGTAGCACTGGCTAGCTCGCACGCACCGCGTTACCGTTTGCATGTTTTCGCGTATAAATGTTCGCTCATGCCTTCGCTCACATTTGGTACTCGTTTTGACACCTTAGTGCAATTCTCGCTACTTCGATTCATTGCACCTGTAACAACTTGATAGAGTCAAAACATGAACGTATACAATTGCTACATTAGTTGATCGCATATGCCACCCTCTTATTATTTCAGGTTCTTTTCCCAATACTTCATTTTCCTACCGTAGCTGTTTCAACATTGCATGCGTAAGTAATCCCTAATCTCACTCCCTTTAATGCAGTCCAAAACAAGAAGCAATCCTTGGAATTTTGGATCAACATGTTAGCACATTAACCCCAGTTCTTCGAGCCAAAAGTCTCAGCTCTACGTGCTAGTTTCTCGTGTTAGTCCATTCCCTTCCCCTTGCAACCCACTCACTATATCTACATCCTTCCACTCTTCATCCCATCGAATATCTCTGGCTCCAAAGTCACGCTTCCTCCTGCTCTTCCCGCCCTCCCGTTCCCAACCCCCCTCCTCTCCGCACCCCAATAGCCTTCTTTCAATTTTGCTTCTTTCCTGTTCCTGCTCCTCGCTGTCCTCCTCCCCCTCCTCCACCTTCTCCCCCTCATTTAGGTGTTGCCCTTCCTGCTGCTGCAGCTGCTCCCTGTAACCTTCCTGCCTCTGCTCCTCTCTCAAAAACACATCACCAGTGGCAGCAGCAGAATTAGGGTCAGAGTCAGCCGCAGCACCAGACGCCGCAGCAAAGGAACCACTAGCACCAGCACCAGCACCAGCGCCGTCAGCAGCAGCAGCAGCTGTTAAAGCAGGTGTGGCTGAGGTGGTGGGGAGAACGAGAGCAGGAGCAGTGGATGATCCATTGAGCTTCTGAATCAGCACATCCTTGTGATAGCCCTGAAAGGGGGGGGAAGGGGGGAGGAGGGGAAGAGGGGTGGTATGACAAGCTACGATGAGCAGCAGCGAGGAGAAAAGGTGGAGGAGCCATTGAGCTTCTGAAATAGCACGTCCTTGTGATAGCCCTGTAGAGAGGAGGGGCGGGGAGGGGAGGGCAGGGGAGGGGAGGGGAGGGGAGGGGAGGGGAGGGGAGGGTGGGGAGGTGGGGAGGCGGGGGAGGGGGAGGGGGGGAGGGCAGCACCACAAGGAACACGTGAAGGGAAGCGAGCAGGAGAAGCCATTAAGCTTCTGAATCAGCACGTCCTTGTGATTGTGAGGCAACGCGCGACTGTATGTGAGAGAGCGACAAGCAAAGAAGAGGAGTGAGCAGGAGGAATGACCTCAACCACAAAGCATTGATCTGCACCAAAAGCACCGACCTGCACCGCAGAGCACCCACCTGAACGACAAAGTTGCGGCGCTCGCAGTCGAGGAACATGTTGAGGCGCCAGGCAGGCACGCTGCGACAGATCTTGTCCCTCGTGTACCCGAAACTCAGCTGGTCGCGGGACGTGAAGCGATCAACCTCGTTGAACCAGAGGCACGCCATGAGATTGCTGAGAGCCGTGTGCTCGCGCATGATCACACACCCCTCGGGCACGTCTGGTTGGGGTTGTGTGGACGGGGAGATGACAGGTGGCTCATGAACATACGCTCAGCTGGTCGCGGGACGTGAATCGGTCCGCCTCGTTGAACCAGAGGCACGCCATGAGGTTGCTGAGAGCCGTGTGCTCGCGCATGATCACACACCCCTCGGGCACGACTGTGCCGTGAAATGTGGATGGTAGGGGGGAGAAGCGCAGGGTTTGAGGTTCGGCACGTTGCTCAGCGCTCAAGATCGCACACCCATCCAGCACGTCTATGCTGGGTTTTGAGCATGGTGGGATGGTAGAGGAAAACACAAGTCAATCGGTCCACCTCGTTGAACCAGAGGCATGCCATGAGATTGCTGAGAGCTGTGTGCTCGCGCATTATCACACACCCCTCGGGTACATCTGTGTTGGGTTGTATGGATGGAGGGCTGGATGGTAGGGGATATAGGGACTCAGGACACCCACCAGCACGGCCAAGCAAGCACCCACCGCTAATAATCGGCATCTTGTCCTCTGAAAAAGGAGTCATGCCGTCGCTGCGGTAAACCTTCATCTGCTCGTCAATGCTCGCGTTGCGGTACTTCCCCGCCGCCTTGTTCGCCTCCGCCTCCACAAACACGTCAAACCGCTTGTAGTGCTTCGATATTGCCCACGAGAAGTTGCCCCGCCACAGAAACCTGAAGGTGTGGGAGGGAGTGTGCAGGGGCGGTAATGGGTGGAGATGAATGGAGATGGGTAGGAATGGGTGCATGAGCCTTGTCGGCCTCCGCCTCCACAAACATGTCACAGCACTTGTAGTGCTTCGAGATGGCCCAGGAGAGTTGCCCCGCCCCAGGAACCTGAGGGCGTATGAATGGATGCATGGGTGCATGGGGTGGGTATGGGTGGAGACGGGTGCGAGTGGGTGGTGACAGGTGGCCTCTGCCTCCACAAACACGTGTCAAACCACCTGTAGCACCTCGAAATCGCCCACAGATGACCATACAGCACCACATCGCACCATACCACACCATATCGCACCATAACGCACGGCACCATACCACACCATAGTCCCACACTGTACCGCACCGCACCGCACCTCTCGAGGATCATGTAGGGGTCTTGCACGAGCTGCAGCTTGGCATCCACCCACATGGAGAACTGCACGTTGGGGAAGAGGCGGTGAATCAACAGCTTGGGAATCTGCAAATTCGTAAAAGAGAAAGGGAGGGAAGTGCACAGATGGAGGCATAGAGGGGGGGGGGGGGGGGTATGGAGCAATTAGAAGCAGGCCTGGCGTCCACCCACATGAAGAACTGCACGTTGGGGAAGAGGTGGTGAATGAGCAGCATGGGGATCTGCATGGTGTAAAGGGAGAGGGGACGGGGGAGTGGGGGTTCGGTGAATACAGAAGATCCATGGGGAGGATAAGGAGTTGTTGGAGGCAGGAGTTGTTGGAGGAGTTGTTGGAGGCAGGAGTTGTTGGAGGAGGAGTTGTTGGAGGCAGGAGTTGTTGGAGGAGGAGTTGTTGGAGGCAGGAGTTGTTGGAGGAGGAGTTGTTGGAGGCAGTAGTTGTTGGAGGCAGGAGTTGTTGGAGGAGGAGTTGTTGGAGGCAGTAGTTGTTGGAGGCAGTAGTTGTTGGAGGAGGAGTTGTTGGAGGCAGGAGTTGTTGGAGGAGGAGTTGTTGGAGGCAGTAGTTGTTGGAGGCAGGAGTTGTTGGAGGAGTTGTTGGAGGCAGTAGTTGTTGGAGGCAGTAGTTGTTGGAGGAGGAGTTGTTGGAGGCAGTAGTTGTTGGAGGCAGTAGTTGTTGGACATTTGTGTTACAGGTGGGAGCTGTGCGAGTGCTGCTTGAAGCACTTCAGAACAAGGTCCTTGGGTGCAAAAAAACGGCTGCAAGGACCCTTCACAATCTATCAATTTTTTTTAAGGTTCTTAAATAACGATAGATTGTAAAGGTTCCTTGCAGCCGTTTTTTCGCACCCAGGGACCTTGTTCTGAAGTGCTTCAAGCAGAACTCGCACAGCTCCCACCTGTAACACAAATTTCCAAAAGTAGTGTTGCGTTCTCATACACCATACCCCAAGCCCATGGTGGGTTTTATTCGAGGAAGACACTATTGGAAATATTCCGCCAACGAGTGTCTTCTGAGTCTTGTTGACTTCTGATTATCTTAGAGGAACCTAAGAGTGCTACATGCATCCTCCTTTGCACAACCACCGGCCGCCATAGCACCATCCTCCATGCATTCGCTCTTACCTCCTATCAGATGCTTACTCTTACCTTGCGTGTGCGCCGGGGGGCCCTGTAAGGAAGGTTATGCACCACCACCAGCCGCCACAGCCCCACGCGACGGGTGTGCGGCTGCTTGAGAGTGCCATCCCTTATGAACTCAGTGAAGGTGAAGTGGTCGACAAACATCACGAAGCACAGTGACACGCTCTCTCTCTCTCTGCGTAACTGCTCCTCTGCTCTCTCTACTCAACTGCTCCTTCACTCTACCATCATTGTACTCCCATCCTATAACTCGCCCTCTTCTCACCTTGCCCATGCGCTTGGGGTCCCTGTAGGGAGGGTTGTGCACCACCACCAGGCGCCACAGCAGCCCCACGCAGCGGGTGTGGGCAGGGCTGCTTGAGGGCGCCGTCGCGGATGAATTCAGGGTTTAGGGTGTGGTCCGTTTGAGACGTCTTAACAACTGCAGGTCGTGTCGTCCACAAACATCACGAAGCAATCACAGCCCTTTGCACTGCTCTTCTGCTCTCTCTGCTCAACTGCTACTTCACTCTACCATCACCATGACCCTACCCAAAACTCGCCCTCACCTTGCCGGTCCGTCTGGGGTCCCTGTAGGGCGGGTTGTGCACGACCACGAGGCGCCACAAGCCCACTCGCCGCGTGCGCGGCTGCTTGAGAGTGCCGTCTCGAATGAACTCGTTGAAGGTCGTCTCATCCACAAACATCACGAAGCACAGCTGCTGCCTCGCCTCCTCGCTGATGTTACTTGGTTGCTGCACCACATCATACGCGCCTGGTGGGAGGGAGAGGGAGCGTGGACATGGGCATGTGGGGGAACATGAGAGAGCAGGCCAGAGTGTGGCGTGCAGTGCTCGGGTGCTGCAACAGGTTCTATCCGCCTGGTTGGGGAGAGGAAGCTCAGGGGCACGTGGGAGAGCAAGCGGACAAGAGGGTGGTAAAATGAGCTCAGTGAAGGTCGTCTAATCCACAAACAATACAAACCACAGCTGCTGCCTCGCCTCGTCGCTCGCATTGCTCGGCTGCTGCACCACGTCGTATGCTCCTGGTGGGCTGGAGGAAGGGGGAGCCTGGGCAGGGGACTGTGGGAGAGCGAGTGAGTGCAGGTCAGAGTGTGGCTGCCACACACAGCATCTCAAGGCCTGCACCAAAGACGGCATAAATGACCACGATGTCGTGACTAGCAGCATTCAACAAATCGCCTACTCTCACTCACACAGCACAGCACAGCACAGCACAGCACAGCACTGCATAGCACCGCACAGCACAGCACAGCATAGCACAGCACAGCACAGCACAGCACAGCACAGCACAGCGCAGCACAGCACAGCACAGCAAAACACTGCACAGCCCAGCACAGCACAGCAAAACACCGCACAGCACAGCACAGCACAGCAAAACACAGCACAGCAAAACACAGCACAGCACAGCACAGCACAGCACAGCACAGCACAGCACAGCACAGCGCAGCACAGCACAGCAAAACACCGCACAGCCCAGCACAGCACAGCAAAACACCGCACAGCACAGCACAGCACAGCAAAACACAGCACAGCACAGCAAAACACAGCACAGCACAGCACAGCACAGCACAGCACAGCACAGCACAGCACAGCACAGCACAGCACAGCACAGCAAAACACCGCACAGCACAGCACAGCACAGAGCCTACACCATGCCACACAACACTCTCTCACCAGAGATGGCGGAAACGACCACGATGACGTACCGTAGCAGCGCTCCATGAGCCGCCTGCTCTCACTCACCATGCACAACACACAGACCACCAGTGACCACACTCTCATGTGCCACATGTGCCAACTCCCAAGCTACAACTCCCAAGCTACAACTCCCAAGCTACAACTCCCAAGCTACAACTCCCAAGCTACATTTCCCAAGCTACAATTCCCAAGGCCCTCACCGAAAATGGCGGAGACCACCACATTATCATAGCAGCGCTCCATGAACCGCCGATCATCACTCACCACGTACAGCACAGCACACAGACAGCACCATGCCTCTCTCTTACAACACTCTCTCACCAAAGATAGCCGATACGACCACAATGTCATAGCAGCGCTCCATGAACCGCCTGTCATCGTCCGACACGTCAAATCCCGTGCCGTTGCCCACCTTGCCGCCCCAGACAAAGCTGAGTAGGAGTGGGGTAAGGGTGAGGGGGAGAGGGGAGGTGTGGTGGAGAGAGGAGAGGAAGCGAGGAAAGAAAAAAAGATCATTGTATGGTCCATTGCAAAGCAGTCCGGCATAACAAAGCCCGTGCCGTTGCCCACCTTGCCGTTGCCCACGACAAAGCCCACGGCAAGGTGGGCACGAGAAAAAGGATCATCGTGCCGTTGCCCACCTTGCCGGGAGTGATGATCCCTCGACTGAAGGATTCTTGACTGGCGGATTGCGTTGAAATGTCTCAAAATTTGGATCTTACCGCAGCGACCGATGCAAGTTGAACCGCGGCCAGAGAGTAACTGTGGACTGACTTGACTCATTCTCCCGACTATTTTCCCTTCTTCCATCCCTCCCTGCCCCTTCTCCCTTCACCATTTGCCCACTAGCGCCCCTTTTCCCTCTCACCCGCAGTGCACGCGCATGCTCTCTTGGATCTTAAACGAGTCCTCCCGCTGCTGCAGCGACTGGTGCCCATTGAACCGCGGCCGGTTGCCCGCCCGCCTGGCGGCGCGCTCACTGGCGTCGTCCTCGGTGACGTACGCCAGGTGCTTCAGAATCGGCTCCTCCGTGTGGCCCCGTGAAGGGCGCATGCCCATGGCGTCTGGTAGCGGCAGGTAGCACACGGGGCAGGCTGGTTTGGGGAAAGGGGGGCGGGGGAAAGGGGGAGGAGGCAGATATGTGGTTGTGGCAGGTAATTCAGAGTTAGATGGGTCCTGGCAGGTCCATAAAGAGGAGATGGGGCGCTTTGTGTGCGCCTGGCAGCCCGCTCACTGGCGTCGTCCTCGGTGACGTACGCCAGGTGCTTCGGAATCGGCTCCTCCGTGTGGCCGCGGGGGGGCCGCATGCCCAAGGCGTCTGGTAACGGCAGGTAGCACACGGGGCAGGCTGGGGGAGGGAGGGTTGTGGAGGGAAATAGGCAGGTGTGTGGGTGGGTGTGTGTGCGCCTGGCAGCCCGCTCACTGGCGTCGTCCTGGGTGACGTACGCCAGGTGCTTCAATATCGGGTCCTCCGTGCTTCAGGGAGGAGGCAGTGAGCGCGGCGTGGTTGCAACAGGCACGTCAGCTACGGGCAGTGGCAGGTAGCACACGGGGCACGCTGCTCACGGGTGGACGGGCGAGGGGAAAACATTGAGGGGGGGAGGGGGGGAGGGGGGAGGGGGGAGCACGGAACACACTGCACAGGCTGAATGGTGAAGTGGGGAAGAAGGAGGCAATGTGGAAGGACTGTGGGGGCTAAGAAAGGCCCGAGAGGGGTGAGGGGGGTGGAGTAGAGGTTTGGGCGCCTGAGAGCGGGTGAGGAGGAGAAATGGTTATGGTGAGAGAGGAAGTGACCACAGGAGGCTGCACAGACCAAAGCCGAGGCACTCTCGTCTGGTCTGTGCGGGAGGCTGCACAGACCACAGTGGTTACCTCAGGCGCTCGCGTGTGGATCCAGGGGTTACCCTAGGCACTCAAGTCTACGTCCAGTGGCTACCCCAGGCACGCACGTCTACAGTCCAGTAAATTCCCTGGGCACTCACGTCTAGGACCAGTGCGCTTCCTGTCGGTGGAAGGCGGTGGGAGGGTGAAATTGGCGCAGGGATGCGACGGGGGGAGAACAGGATCGAGAGGGTTGATCTGCGCAGGGGGAGGAGGCGGAGAGGGGGGAGGGGGAGGAGCAGGCGCGCGCACTCCCATCCCCCTTCTACTCTTCTTCGGTCGCTTCTCCCGCTTCGGCTTCTTCTCCTTCCGCTTCTTCTTCTTCCTCTTCTTCTCCCGTAATTCATACACTCGCGCCTCCGTCTCAATCTCAACCCCCTCACCCTTAGCTGCATCCTGCCCCAACAAAGCACCCTGCCCTTCCAAACCGTTCTGCACCCTCGAATCATCCGTCTCCCCCAAAGCGCCCTGGCTCCCCAACTCATCCTGCGCTCCCGAAGCACCCTGTTCCCTCCGCTCATCCTGCTCCCCGCTTGCAGCGTTCTCCCCCCCCAAAGCATCAGGCGCAACCTCCCGCTCTCCCTCTCGCTCCTCAGCAGGCATAGACTGGCCGAGACCGTTCTGAACCGAAGTGTGGAACGAACGCCGCTGCTCGTTCTGACTACCATCCGTAAGCGCGCTTGATTGGTCGACGGCGAAATGCAATCTTTCAATACCGGTTTCGGGATTCGCTGCACCCGTCCCTGTCAACGAATTTTCGCCGTCGGTTTGTGCAGGTGATGGCGAATCTACGGCCATCAGTGGACCTGTGTCATCCAACACACCGACCCTCTTTGTCGGTTCCACTGAAACACGGACGAACGAACGGCAAAACAACGGGGGAACGAACGGGAGAATGGTTAACCACGATGGAAAAGAAACGAAGGATCGCAGCTCGTCAACAGCATTAACAACGTCGCCTTCTTTTCGAAAAAAATGTTAAAACCTACAATCGGCAGGAACTAAGCAACAAAGGACAAGCCAAATGGAACGAAAACGGAAGTTGGCTAGATAATCAGTCACATTCCCCAGTCTGTCGGTCAATCCTTGATACTAGTACCTTGGGGTTGTTGCGGCTGGCCGGAGAATCTGAGATCCTTGACGACGAAAATGGTGGAGATCGAGACGGCAGCCAGGAAGAGAACCATCATTGCTTTCCTCTTCCCTGGCAGGCTTCGTTTGTCGTTATTCATGGAGGACGACCTGGTGGGTGCGGGAGACGCGTTCGACGCGGAGAGACGTTGCGCCTTCAACGTCTTGTTGAGCGATCGCAGCGCGGTGAAGGAGGAGGATCGGTGTGCGACGATGTGCGACTCCTCCGGCGTCACAGGCGGCGATTCCATGACCGGAAGGAGCAGTTACACGGGGAGGATCGAGCTAGAGTGTTCATGAAGCACGCGCATGGCTAAGATTCTCGATTCTTGAGGCCTGGATTCTTTATGCCTGGATTCTTGAGCCTAGGATGCATGTCGAGGCCTCGTTAGATCCAAGGAGTGATAAGGACGTCGCGGAAACACTGTCGTAAGAATAACTACGATGGCCACATCGCGGTAGTTGCTTTATGAAGCATCGTAGCCGTTGACGTGATGGGTTATGGATGCCAGCCTACACCAATGCGGATTTCTACATGACTCGTTACAAGCCAGATTCGGCCAGCGCTCTGCTGACTTATAGGGTTGAAGCAAGATACGAACGAGAGTTGATAAGCCCGTCAATGTATCTCACGTCGTGTGAGGATTCTAAAAAGCTTCAGTCACTCCCTCACGCGACGAATGTCGAAGTTCCTCTGGATCTGAAATTGGAAAGCGTCCAGAGAAACGATTATGAAAAACGAGAAATCCAATCAGCAAGAAAGCAGCCGAACGAACAAAAATGGGAGATATTACTACGAAGACATGACAGTCAGTCTCTATAAAGGAAGAATAACAAATGACTTCTAGTCAGCCATAGCTGAGCACCACATCCATCCAAGAGGACGACGGGAAGGTTTACTCTCGCCCAATACCTTATTCAGCCGATTGAAAATATTAATGAACCGCATCAAAATACCAGTAATCTCACGCCTTGGCACTAAGACACTAACAAGCGAAGTTCACTGTCAAGAGCACCTGACAGGTGCTACAAAAGGAAGTTCTTCTAAAAGAAATGACTAATGAAAAAACGTGTGGGGAGAGAACCCGCACAACAGAACAGATCATTGGGATTTGATTGGTGGAAGCCAAATCTTCGCAAAACGTGAAGCGGGGACGCGGAGGAAGGAAGCACGCGATAAGTGATGTGATGCACGCGTCCAGAGGGTAACCCGGCCATAGTATGCGAACCTCACGACAGGTGACGACTGCTTGCACGAAACGCCTTCTGTGTTTGTCGTCAACGGAACCACAGACTTGGACGATCGAGCGCAATCTGTGGGAACAGTGCGACGGCTTCGATGTTATCTTGGCCGCACGATGCCGCACAGAGCCTAGACGTGAAAGAGCGAGCTTACATCACACTTCCAACTCGCTATGGATTGAGCACAGAAAATTCATTTCAGGGTTGAATGCCAATCTCTAGGAAGAGGCCGGCCTCAGAGTTGTTGGCCTTCCCTCTTAGTCAAATACTATTGACACGGGAACGCCATTCATGTCCAGGCTTTTCCTTCCCGCCTGAACAAGACACACAAAAAAGCAACGTTGAAGCAACAATAAGAACTTCAGGTCAAGTCAACTAAAAAAACAGGCATGTGCAAAAGCAAATATTGAAGCTGACATACCTCTAGAATTGCTGTGGTTAAGAGGCATGCTGGACTTCGTATTGTCGCAATCATCTCATTAGACTCCACATCTGCCACAGTTAACTTCTTCACATTTATGCACTGGGCCGCCTTAACAAATTCTGCAATGCTGCGGTAACCATACCCCAACTGGCCAGCGAATCTTCCTGTTGCGTCCGGAGTGTACTGACGAGTTTGGAGATATAACAGGAGAAAAGTTCATGGTGAGTGGGAAGATGCGAAGCGAGGATGTGCGTGTGGCACACCAACAACAGTTGTGTGTATTTCAGGTAAACAAGATAAAGCGCTAGATTAACATACCTTCATGTACAGTGGGTTGAGTGTAGCAAAGCCAGCTGCATCAGTTGACATGGTGAATCCTCTATGAGCCTGATCCACTTGCACCTCACCCTGTCACCATGCACACATACATCGATGAGACATGCATACGGGCATACATGCGTACATGCATGCATGGATATGCAGGATGGCAGCCACACATAAAGAAACATGCATCTATGTGGTGATGAAATCACCTGCCATGGCATTGAGCAGTGCATATTCCACACATGAACGCTCACGCCATATCTGGTGGCCCATGTAGCGAAAGTACTGCTGTGCGTGCCTGGCAGTTACAAGGGATGCAATCTACAGTATTCTAGAATCTAGACACAACCCATCCGAACCGAATGCCTTTGCCACTCACTCCTGCCATACCTGGTGGCCCATGTGGTGAAAGTACTGCTGTGTGTGGCAGTCAGAACGGGTCGGAATCTTATTTACTGTTCCACACATAATACTTTTTTAACTGAATGCACATCCTGCCATACCTGGTGGCCCATGTAGTGAAAGTACTGCTGCGTGTGGCAGTCAGAAGGAGGGGCAATCCAGCTTGCAGTGTACACTGCGGTGCCACAAGAGCCGCCCTTGTTCTCCCACTGAACCTGCTTGTAGCGAGTACAACAAATAGTGCACGAGCCAGAGGTTGGTGCAAACGCGCATTCTCACGCGTTAGAGGTAATTGCTACAAAGAAACAAATATTAGCTCGAGAAGGGCACACAGACGGGCACACGGGATTCACCAGCGACACCGAGGCAACCCACAGACACACCGCAGCAGACTGGGAAGAAAGGCTAACCCACAGGCAAAGAGCGAGTCGGATGAATCCCAGAAAGAAAAGCTTAGCCCAGCTGCGCACCACGAGGGTGAGTGATTGCAGCCCAGCTCCGTCTCTACCAACCCAGCAGCCTCTCTTCATGTGTGATTAGTCGAATTTTGATCCTACAACACGCGTGCAGCTCACTGAGAAATGTCAGTCCATTTCTACCAGCCCAGCAGCCTCTCCCCTTGCTCCCTCACCTTCCACCGCATGGCCTCACAGACGCGATAGGAAAGAAAGGCATGGAGGAAAGGGGTTAGCCCCCAGCGGCTCACCATGAGGTGATTGCATCCTCCACATCCACCCACCCCAGCTGCACCTCCCCTTGCTCCCTCGCCTTCCACCGCATGGCCTCACAGACGCGATAGGAAAGAAAGGCATGGAGGAAAGGGGTTAGGACCCAGCGGCTCACCATGAGGTGATTGCATCCTCCACATCCACCCACCCCAGCTGCACCTCCCCTTGCTCCCTCGCCTTCCACCGCATGGGCTCACAGACGCGATAGGAAAGAAAGGCATGGAGGAAAGGGGTTAGCCCCCAGCGGCTCACCATGAGGTGATTGCATCCTCCACATCCACCCACCCCAGCTGCACCTCCCCTTGCTCCCTCGCCTTCCACCGCATGGCCTCACAGACGCGATAGGAAAGAAAGGCATGGAGGAAAGGGGTTAGCCCCCAGCGGCTCACCATGAGGTGATTGCATCCTCCACATCCACCCACCCCAGCTGCACCTCCCCTTGCTCCCTCGCCTTCCACCGCATGGCCTCACAGACGCGATAGGAAAGAAAGGCATGGAGGAAAGGGGTTAGCCCCCAGCGGCTCACCATGAGGTGATTGCATCCTCCACATCCACCCACCCCAGCTGCACCTCCCCTTGCTCCCTCGCCTTCCACCGCATGGCCTCACAGACGCGATAGGAAAGAAAGGCATGGAGGAAAGGGGTTAGCCCAGCGGCTCACCATGAGGTGATTGCATCCTCCACATCCACCCACCCCAGCTGCACCTCCCCTTGCCTTCCACCACCCCACAGCGTTAACCAGCACCACCGAAGCAGCCCAGCACAGCAAAGTCTTAACCTAGAGACACACCATGAGGGTGATTGCATCCTCCACCTCCACCGCCCCAGCAGCTGCGCCTCCCCGTGCCTCGTGCAGCACTTGGCTGGCCTTCCCCCTCGCTGCACTCGCCACCACCACCACTGGCCGCGACTGCCCCTGCACTGCCCACGCGTGGAAATCTGCAGGCGGGATAGAAGGGTAGAGGGGACGAAGGGGCAAGGGGGTGAAGGGTTCAGGGGTTGAGAGGGAGAATGGGAGTCTGTTTTTGAGGGAATTTTCAGGAAACGGATGAGAGTGGAATTCCGTGTCCCGATGCCAGGAGGAAGGGAAGAGAACAGAGGGAGGAACAAGGTGCAGGGCAGGGCCTGGGTGGCTTGGAGGTTTGTTTGAACAGCATTGGATTATCGGTGCAATGCATTGAGAAACGTGTACCTGGTGTGTGAAGTGTAACTCACGTTACACAAGCTACACCCACCGATGTGGTGCGAGCTGAGGTAAAACGAGATGTCTGAGCTCCCGTCAGAGCTGAGCTGATTTTGAGAGTATATGCTGCATTGCATAAAAGCGACTCAAATTGTATGGTGTGCAAAGTATATGCATCTTCTGGTGTGCAACCTAAATCACCCACCTATGTGGTGCGAGTTGAGGTAGAAGGAGATGTCTGAACTCCTGCCAGCCCAGCCTGCATACCGTGGGAAAGGGGAAACGGGATGGGGAAGAAGAGAAAGGGATGACAGACAGAACGTAGAGGTAAGTGCAATCTGCAATTACGTAGAGGTAACGTGGAGGTAACGTGTGCAGTGCAGCTGCATCTTAGGCTGGGTCATGGTGTTGGAGCTGAAGGCGAAGGGCCCTCCTATGGTGACTCAAAGGGCACATTCGCACCGCTCAGGTGGGCACAGCGTGTGCAAATGCTACTCATATAAAAACACAACGCACCTGCAAACGTGTGCAGCTGCTTCTTTGGCTGAGTCATGGTGCTGGTGAAGAAGGCAAAAGGACCCAGACCCCTGATGCGGTCGCGCGCGTCTGTGACAGGGCAGCATGGAAACACAAAGACTTGTGGCTCGATTTAAGAGAAGAAGGTAAAGGACATGGAACCGAGTGTCCTGATGGGAGCACGAGCGTCTGAAACATGGGAATCTGGGAAACGTTGTGTTGAAAAAAAATAATGAAGGGTAAGACGGAGAAATACAACAAACGGACAGCGTGTACACCAGCACGTGAGCACCAGCGTGGACTGGAGCTCTGGACTGGAGCTCTGGACTGGAGCTCTGGACTGGAGCTCTGGACTGGAGCTCTGGACTGGAGCTCTGGACTGGAGCTCTGGACTGGAGCTCTGGACTGGAGCTCTGGACTGGAGCTCAGGACTGCACGGGAGCACCAGCACGTGAGCTCCAGCACGGGAGCATGAGCACGTGAGCACAAACCGGACGGCGTGTATGTTTTACCAGAACTACACGTCTCAAAACTACACTCTTACCACGTCACAAACCGGACGGCGTGTACCTGTGTAGATGGGGTCAAACCGCTTGTGAAACTCAACTGCCACCAGCACACCCTTTTCTCTGCGTGCAACGCACACCAAGCAATGCAGAGCATGCGATATTTGGCAAGAGGAACCGTGCAATACGGTGGGAGGTGGAGCGCGAAGGAAGGGAAGCAATGGGGCAGAGAGGGGAAGGAAAGGGCTGTTCTTGATGGGCTCAGAATAGTGAAAGATATAGCAAACAAGGAGTGGAACTACAAGAAAGGGGTACTGTGGAGGATGGCCTGTGAGCGCAGCGAGGCAGCTGCCTGAGCGGTTATCGCGAGCTTTTCGAGAATTCTAAAAACTGTGGAGGAGGACCTATGAGCACGGGGAGGCAGCTTCCTGAGCGTTTATCGCGAGCCTTTAAAGAATTCTAAAAAATTGCTTACTGTGGAGGAGGACCTATGAGCACGGGGAGGCAGCTCCCTGGGCGGTTAGCACAAGGTGGTGACGACAATGACTGTTCAGTCGTGTCAACAGCTACTCTGCTGTGATTGGTGCTTTTGAGGGGAATCAACAGCTTGTCGACAGAAGCTTACTCTGCTGCTTGCACGAGGTGGTGGTGGTGTTGGAGGGTCTTCACTGCTGGCTTCGCTACAAGCACATGCAGCCCTGCATGTGAGAGAGGGGCGGGAAGGGAAGGCAGTAGGATGGTATGGGGCGCGAGACACAAACACCAGAGACGATGGTGTGCTGGCTCGCCCTTTGAAGCTAGTACCAACCGTGATGGATAGATTGTGAGGTCGGCCTTGTGCGAGATACTACCCACCGTGTTGAATGGGCAGCGAGGGCGATGGGGCGGTGTGTGTTGTCTGGAGTGAAGATGGCTACCATGTCTCCCGCCTCACTGACTCTACCTCCCACCGTGTTCCCCTTTGTGGGATTCACAACCCACCGTGCTGGATGGCCGCAAGGGCGATGGGGTGGTGCGTTTGTCTGGAGTGAAGGCGGGTGACCATGTCTCCCGCCTCACTGTGTCTAGACTCTACCTCCCACCTGACATGAATGCACCCAGCTAACACATGCGGCAGTGAGGTGAGTTCGCCCTTGTGAAATTTACCACATGACCCACCATGTTGAATGGCGGCAAGGGCGATGGGGTGGTGTGTGTTGTCTGGAGTGAAGATGGTGACCATGTCTCCCGGCTGCATGCGTGCCATGGCTGTCAGGTATGCTGCGTCGTCCTCCTGTACATCGTCTGACACATACACATGCACATGTATGCATGCGCATGCAAGTGCACACATACACATGCACATGCACATGTATGCATGCGCACGCAAGTGCACACATACACATGCACATGCACATGTGCAAACATGCACATGCACATGCACATGCACACAGATGCACATGCACATGCACATGTATGCACATGCACACATGTACACACATACACATGCACATGCACACACATGCACATGCACATTCACATCCACATTCACATGCACATGCACATGCACATGCACATGCACACATGTACACATGCACATGCATATGCAGATACACACGCACATTCACGTGCATACACGCACAGAGAGATGCACACACAACAGAAACAGGCAGAGATGGCTACATCCTTTGAATTCTCATGCTTGAAATGGGTTCTAGGTATGATTTAGCATTCTCATCAGTCACCTCCATGTCACATCTTCATCCCATATCAAAAGCCATACCTGGAGGGTAAGTCTAGAAAGTCATGTCCATATCTCGATACACGTCTGCAGTCTTCCTCTGCGGCATCTCTCTCTGATGGCTGGATGGCTGGAAAGGTCAGATGTCATGGAGAATTGCTCCTGGGAGACTCAAGAACCACACCTGGAGGGTAAGTCTCGCGATTCACATCCATGTCTTGGTACACGTCAGCAATCTTCCGCTCAGCGTCTCCCTGATAAGATGGCGGTCTATACTTGAGGCGCCTCAAATGTCAGGCATACCTGGAGGGTAGGTCTCCAGAGTCACATCCATGTCTTGGTACACGTCAGCAATCTTCCTCTTGAGCGTCTCCCTGATGGCTGGGAAGTGCCGCCCGGGCTGATCGCACAGCAGCAGGCGCTGCACCTTCCCCAGCCGCCGGAGGTCCATTAGCGTGATGGCAATGACACTGTACAGGTGGTGGGGGCATGTGGTAGAAGAATGGGGTCACTCATAAGTCGCACAGCAGCAGCCACTGCACCTTCCCCAGCCGCCGGAGGTCCATTAGCGTGATGGCAATGGCACTGCACAGGCGATTTGGGAGGATGTGGATAGGGAATGGGATGAATCACAATCACTAACCTGTCACACACAACCAACCCTGCACATTCTCTAGTCGACTTGCAGCAGGTAACCCCTCCATGTAAGAACACCAAGTCCCATGCCTTCCGTTCTACCCCACCATTCTACATCAAACGGCATGCCTTCACTTCACCCCCGGATCTTCACCTCACCCCGAATCTTCACCTCACCCCCACTACTCATCTCAATGCCTCACTGTTACCGTGACCCTTCCCAGCACATACCCTGCAGACTTGTCGCTCGCAGCTCCCTCCTTGGTCGGTACAAACCCTGACGAGAGATGCAACCAATACCAGAAAGGAAGTCAGATACGACCTGGTCGGCAGAAAACGGCGGAAAATTAATGTCATTATACTTTTTGTTTTTTACTCACCTACGGTGTACTCGCCAGCGCCTACCATAAGCACGCTGATTGGCTGCTCCATTCCGCCGATTCTTGGAATTAGCTACGAGGAGTTCAGTACTGCGAGATTTCCCCCCTACAGAGAGTAAACGTCGAAGGGACGCGACCAGAGCAGGACGTCGAATTTCTTCTATTCATGTACGGTCAGTGTCATATCGGATTTCGCGTCACGCGCTTATGCCTTCATGATCACAGGAGCTTTTCGCAGTTGATCCCCCCTCAAATCAGTCCAGATTCGTGGTTCGCTACATACCAGAGCGTGATTGTTTGCCTGTTGGTATATGACGCTGATTGATGCGCATTCGACACACATTTGATGCGCTGATTGTGGCTCGCTGTTTACAGATTGCAGGTGGATTGGGAGGGACGTCAACATAGGAGGACATTCAATTCAAATTGCTGGTGCATCCCACTCTCCATCATGTACACTGGATGAGCCTCCAATCAAGTATTTTCTTGGCATTTGAGTTGAGACGTCTTGAGATTCACCTTCCAACAAGTGATTGTATCAGTTCCACTTCTGATTTCACATCAATGCCAACGTGCATCACTATCCTAGACGTCTCTCTGTCTCTAATGAGCTTTTGACTTTCCCTTCCCTTTCCCTCTTCTTCCATCTCTCACGCCATGGACAACCCCTTCTTTATGCTTCTTCCCTTCTTTCGGCTCCCCTTGCATTTCAACTTTCTTCTTGGCCTTCCCCACTGGAATCCAAGCCAGGGAGCAGAAGAATGCGAGCAGAAAGAGCACCGAAGACCTGACTTCGATTCCATCCCAGGACGACCGCATCGCATAGAACGCCAGCACCGATAATCCCACTGTTCCCCCAGCAGAAGGACCTAAAATGGCCATGAACCCTCCAGCAACCACCAAGAAGCTTCCGCCAATCATATCAATGTCCTGGTCCTTGAAATCCTCCCAGGATGTGGGAAAGGAGTGCGCGTATGGATCCTTCGAGATGACCGGATCCAACGGCTGTAAAATGCTGTTCCATTCAGGTAACCTGAAGGGCTGTCCGGAGACGGTTTTCTGGAGGATTTGAACGAGAATTCCTGGGTAGAGCAGGCAACGGAGCAGCGTGGAAGGCGCTCGACCGTAAGCGTGAAGCTCCGTGACGACTATGTCGAGCGGGGACTTGCAGCGGATTCCGGAGCATGGCAGACTGCGAGAAGTGATCAGATTGGGAGAAAAGCGGGATAAGACTTCATGGCGTAGAGAGATTCAAGCGAATTTGAGAAACTCTGCCGGGAGTTTGCCAACTCAACTCGAAAAACGGCGCGCGAAAGAGGATCAGGAGGAAGAACATGTGGCTGAGCCGCGTTTGCCATGACCACACAGCCGGTTTCCGCTGGTCCATTCTCAAAGGAAGTGAGGGATGGAAAACGAGAGAAGCACAGCACGACTAGGCAAAATCTTCCTGAGGAAGACAGCTTTGGGAAAGTAGGAAAGTTGCTTTGGCGAGCAGCAATCTTCAACCTCCAGCTGGTGGAATTCAACCCGTCAGTGAATACACTTCCGATATCTCTAGAATCTTCGCAAGCTACATTACGACACGGCGAGGTTGTCCATATCGGAAACAAATCCAAATGTTGTAGCCACGAGCCGATTGCAGCACACCAATAAACATCCACCAGCTGGTCACCTGCCTTCACACGCGGAAAGCACACTGAGATGCCATATCACCAGCTTTTGCTGACTCAGCTCAGCCGTGCGTTGCGAAAAGGCGGAAATGCTTACCTCGATCTAGGCTGCTCCATCAATCACCTCTCGATGTCACGCGCCTTCCTGTCACCCATCCGTGCGATCGCGCAACCCAACTCGCACCACTCGCGAACCGCCAACCCGATACGTCAGACGCCCCACCAAAGGCGGAGATTCTACTGCCAGCATTTGCCCCCCCCCGCAGACTGTCCCCTCCTCCCCCCGAACGCCTGATCCGCCAGCGCCAGGTATGGAACTCAAGTCTGGCGGGACAATCTTCCAGCTGTACAACGATTGGCCACCTTGAAATTTCCACGTCACCTCTCTGGGGAACGTCAGATCAGAGATCAGTGCCGCTCTCCTCATGGGATCATCCCCCTCGCAGCGCAGACCCATCTCGTTCCCCCTCCACCCTCCTTCCCCCAACTTCCGCCACTAGAGTCTCTGCTCCCCCTGATTTTTGGAAAGAAATTGCCTTTTCCTTCCCTGGTCTGATCTCATCTATCAGCTCCGCTCTCTGGTCAGCTGGTTGACTGAATTAGCACTCAGTTGCTTCAGCTCAATCTTATATCCAGCCAGGGTTGGCCAAATCAGTGACATTGAGACACTACTTTCTACTTTCCGTGGGATTACACACATTGCAGCTATGGCTTCTACAACGGCCTGCGTGTCCAGGGTGAATGTGTTCAACCCACTGATCCAGGGGAACACCCTCAGGTCAAGATGTACAAGCACTGGTGCGTTTGGCACAATGCCATCCAAGGCGTTGCTTTTTTAATCGGTCGCTTCACTGCTCGACCATATCGGCCTGACTCGTAAACAACAGCCTTGATTAACTCCTCGTATCTCTCCCTCGTTTCTTTGAACCTCATGTGTCTCTCTCTCCCATTCTTGCAGTGCGCCTGGCTGCTCCAGTTCACAGGCCGGCTCTCCGAGCTGCTCCCGTCGCTCCTCGTTGCAGCTTCGAGGACTCGTCTTCTTCGGCGTCCTCCAAGCTCGTTAAACAAAGCACCTCTTCCATGTAACCACTCATACTTAACACTTAACGATCATCACTTAACTTCACGGTTGACTGAACACCTCGGGAAACATTGCCTTAACATATCGCATTTTCACTTACCCGACCATTCTCATGCAGGAAAGGAACACTGTAGTAAGAACATGGCTATTTTTTGGATCGCTCACAGAGAGCACCTTGTTTCTCTGTTCGTCTCTACAGTGTTGCTCAAGCTGCAGAGGGGGCGGCCCCTGCTCCTGCCGCAGGCCCAACTCCCCTTAAGAAGTTCATCGAGACCCTCACCACCCTCTTCCCGCTCTGGGTAAGCAGCTACCTTTCTCGTCAGTCTTTTGCATTTCATTCCTGATTCGTATATTCTAATCCTCTCTAACTCTTACGTACTCGTTTCGCTTCACTGTTACTGCCCATTTCTCCATCCAGGTCATTCTTGGAACCTGCATCGGTCTCGTTAAGCCTTCGGCTGTAAGCTTCTCACCCTACGTTACCCCTCTGGTCCTCGTCCACTTTTCCTAGCCATAACAATTTCAGCATTTTTCAGGAACGATTTTGTTGTTCGGTAACATTTGTGTTCTCGTTTTGTTCTGCTTTCAGGTGACATGGCTCCAAACCGACCTCTTCACATACGCTCTCGGTTTCCTCATGCTTTCCATGGGTCTCACCCTCACCTTCGAGGACTTCCGCCGCTGTCTCCGCAACCCCTGGACGGTAAGCATTTTGTCCTCACCTGTGACCGCCCAAATTCGTCAGTGACTTATCATGCGATGTTTGATACACAGAACGTTGGTCTAAGTTGCACAATCCATTCCTCTTTGTTGAATATTTTCACAGGTCGGGGTCGGTTTCATCGCACAGTACTGCATTAAGCCGCTTCTTGGCTATGCCATTGCTCTGGTAAGGAGCTCAACCATAGAATGAGCTAAGCACTCTCACATTGACTCTTAAAAGCATCCGGTTTGGCAGCTCCTATCCTTTTCAGCCTTTTATGCCTCCAATTTCATTTCAATATTCCTCGCTCAAACTCGTCCCATGGCATTCTAATACGTTCCACTGGGTTTCGCTTCCTGCCAATCTCTTTTGTGTTTCCAGGCGCTGAAGCTCCCCGCCCCTCTTGCCACCGGGCTCATCCTCGTGTCGTGCTGCCCCGGCGGTCAGGCGTCCAATGTCGCCACCTATATCTCTCGCGGCAACGTCGCCCTCTCCGTGCTCATGACCACGTCAGTCTCCGGCTGACCCCTAAACCCGCAGACTTTCCCGCCAGTTTCCATTATACGTGCCCCCACATGCATCCATTCCCGTGGTTTCAAATAAGTGTATAACTGACAGCTTTTCGTTTCCCTCCTTCTGCCGCCATGCCAGGGCGTCCACCATCGGCGCCATCTTCATGACGCCCTTCCTCACCAAGGTCCTTGCCGGCCAGCTGGTGCCCGTCGACGCCAAGGTACGCGTGATCTTTCATTACCAGACAATCGCGTTTTTGTTTCCTCGTCAGAGGCATCCGTGTGCTCTTTTAAGGCCTGGCAGAGTGAACAATATGCTATGATTTTCGTTCTTGCAGGGTCTGGCCATCAGCACTTTCCAGGTCGTGCTTGTGCCCACCATTTGCGGAGGTGAGAAACCTGAAGTTCACCTACGCTTGCTTCTTGTAGCTTTTGTTCCATCGAGCAGCCTCCTGACTGAATTGTTTTTCCGTGTATCTTCCTCCCATGATGCAGTCCTCGCTAACGAGTTCTTCAACGATATCACTAAGAAGATCACCTTCTTCACACCGCTTGTTGGCGTCGTTCTCACCACCCTGCTCTGCGCCTCCCCGGTACTCATCCTTTGCACTCTTTCTAGTTCCTCTTTCGTCGTTCCTGTTCCTTGTCGAAACTGATCCAGTGGAAATAAAATGTCTTCCATCCTTTTCCAGTTTGACCCATCTTCCCTCACCTTGACATCCCCTCACCCGTGCACCATCCCCTCAACCGTGCACCATCCCCTTGCCCGTTCATCATCCTCCCACCCTTGCCCCACCCCTCCCCCTTGCATCACCCCTCCCCCTTGCATCACCCCTCCCCCTTGCATCACCCCTCCCCCTTGCATCACCCCTCCCCCCTGCATCACCCCTCCCCCTTGCATCACCCCTCCCCCTTGCATCACCCCTCCCCCTTGCATCACCCCTCCCCCTTGCATCACCCCTCCCCCTTGCATCACCCCTCCCCCTTGCATCACCCCTCCCCCTTGCATCACCCCTCCCCCTTGCATCACCCCTCCCCCCTGCATCACCCCTCCCCCTTTCATCATCGTCTCACCCTTGCATCATCCCCTCGCCCGTGTATCATCCTCTCACCCTTGCCTCACCCCTCCCCCTTGCATCATCCCCTCGCCCTCGCATCATCCCCTCGCCCTCGCATCATCATTGCTCTATGATCCCTATTTTTGCATCACACACTCACCCGTACATGGCCCCTCCTATCCGTTGCCTACCGCAACAGATTGGTCAGGTGGCGGAGGTACTCAAGGCGCAGGGCGCGCAGCTCATCCTCCCCGTCGCAGCTCTGCACGCCTTCGCATTTGCTCTCGGCTACTTCCTCTCGCGCGTCTTCAACTTCAGCGAGTCCACCTCCCGCACCATCTCCATTGAGTGCGGCATGCAGGTGAGAGTTGTTTGCTGATAATTGTGCGGCGTGCTGGTGAGATTGGCATGCTGGTGGGGTTGGGGTTACGGCAGGCATGCACGTGAAATTTAGAAACAAAAAGCCCCACAGATAGGCTTGAGGCTAATGCTTGATTGGTTTGATAACTCACAGCCTTTGTACAACTGAATCTCTTCAGTCTTAATAACGTATTCTCCCCCTACTCTTGCCTATCTGTTTTTCTGATTTTCTCCCTGAATGTCGTCTAAACTGCTTCAGAGCTCGGCTCTTGGTTTCCTTCTAGCTCAGAAGCATTTCTCCAACCCATTGGTCGCTGTGCCATCTGCTGTCAGCGTCGTGTTCATGGCTGTAAGTTGTTGGAGCTTTGGGAGCTGCAATAATGGCTTGTGTTGGCTTGTTTGTCATGAGTGTTTTTCCACTTGTGGTTGCCAGTGCTTGTTGCTGATGAATTTTCTCATGTTTGTGTCTCGGTGTTTGCAGCTGGGAGGAAGTGCTCTTGCTGTCTTCTGGAGGAACAACCCACTTCCCAAGGATGACAAGGATGACTTCAAGAAGTAACTTCGTTTAGACATGATGTGATGAAACCTGTGGGGCTGCTGCTCTTTGCAGGTGCCATCACGTAGACGGTGTCTTTGTTAGTTTTTAGGTTTTGCTTCACATATACCTATCACTGGATTTCCCTATAGTGGAAAGTACCATAAGATGCATGTGTAGAAGTGTTTTTCCAACAGAATTATGCATTTCTGACCTGGATTCCTGGTTTCCCAGTCTTGAGTTGCTCAAGAAAGGAGTCCATTGAGCTTGCAGGGAATCCACTACATATGTCATGTAGGTTCTTGAGTCTGGTCAGCACATATTCATTCTGCAAGCACAAATGCACTACATTTGCCATGTAGTCTTGTTTCGTAGAAAACCTTCAGACCGTACGGTGTGTACCACGAATCAGGCCTACCACGAATCAGGCCTTACCGGATGGAAACAGATTTCACCACAAATCAAGGTTTTTGCCCATGTTCCCGGAATCCCGTTGGTCCCCACGTGTTGGAAGGCTGGTTTCCGAGTAGGAAGGTTGGTTTGGTTGGGGCGAGCAAGTTTATTGGCCAAGGTTCTGGGTGCCAGGATCGCACTCAATTTGGGCTTTAGGAAGGTTGACGTTGAACCAATTTGGGCTATCCTGGCCCGCAGGTTTTAATAGAAACAGAGCAAAACAGAATATGGCATGAACATTTTTGTGGTCGCTGGAATGTCACCTAAGCATAACGAGGTGGCCAGTACCCCTTACCGAAACCGTACGTTGGCGACAGCGACGACTCACCAGCACCACCTGCGACACCTCCTTGCAACTTCGTCGCTGGGACGACGAAAAAAAACTCCGTTTCGCGCGACGCACGAATCTCAAGCGTGAAGTGTTCGCGGTTTGCCGTTGGGAAACAAAATTCGCACCCTAGCCAGCCAAGTCAGCTGACCTGACCGAACCAGTCAAAAGCCGCTATCGCGTGCTTGTCAACGCCCTGACGAAAAAATATCAGCCGTCACTGTCGAACTCTTTCCTCTCCACTGGCAACCGCCAAACTCCTCCCTCGTCCTCGCAAATCCCCATTTCGCAAAATTCGTCGAGCGTGGAAATCCGCGGCTCGATTTGGAAAATCTCGAGTCAACCAGAATTCGCCCCTTTCCACACCACCACCACCACCACCACCACCACCACCACCGACCCTGTTCCTACTCACCCTTCATCGTCATCATCCTCACCTTCACCTTCACATTCAAGTCGACCAAGCCATTCAACCCAGGTACTTCAGAGTCTCCTGCATCAGCTTTACTTTGTTGTCTAATTTGTTCCGCCTCTAGTCCGCGGTCTTGCCATAATAATAAGCCTACTTCCTGAATCTAGCAAGAAAGCCAGCAAATTCCAGCGGCACGCGTTTCAAGCGACGCAGATAAAGCATTCGAGCGTAGATTCCTAGTAAACCAAGACGCTTTGGGTGCCATGGGGGGCTGCGTGTCGATTGAGGAAGACCCTAGAGGCCGAGTTGGGCCCGCACCTAGCCGATCGTCGTCCCGCGCAACCCACTCAAACCGCGTTGCACCGCAAAGCCCCTCTACAGCAAGCAAGCTCTCGGCGCGCAAGTCCTCCCCCATGCGATCCCCCTCTTCCGCTTCGGCCTCCGCTTCCGCGTATCGTTCCGGCGGACTCCTCCCAAAATCCAACGAGAGCAACATTAGTGCCGCCAGTGGCGGAAGCGGAAGCGGCCGTCGATCCTGCCCGCAAACACCGCGCGGGAGTTCCGCCAGCGGCTTCCGGACTCCCCCTGGCAGCGGCGGGCTGGGTTCCGGCCGACGCGGCGGCGCACTTGCGGATCGAACGGCTCTGGCGAACAGCGGCGTCGCCACGTCATTGCTGCGCGAATTTTCGTACCAGGAGCTATGGATAGCGACGCGGAAATTCGAGAAGGAGGGGAAGCTGGGGGAGGGCGGATTCGGGAGCGTTTTCCGGGGAACGATCGAAGAGGATGTTTGCGCTTCAGGCGCGGGGATGGGCGCGGGGAGCGGAGAGGGCGGGAAGCGGAAGCTGCAGGTTGCGGTGAAGGTGTTGAATCAGGGGGGTCAGCAGGGGGAGACGGAATGGAAGACGGAGGTTCGGTACCTGAGCGAGCTTCGGCACCCGAACCTGGTGCGGCTGGTCGGGTACTGCTCGGACGGGCATCACCGGCTGTTGGCATACGAGTATCTTCCGTACGGCAGCCTCGAGCGATTCCTTTTCACCCGTAAGTTCCTGGTCGCTACAATGCGATAAATACCGAGTACACGGCTCAAAGAACGACGCGATTTTGCGACCGATTTCGCGTTCGTCGTGGTCGTCTCTGTTGTCGTCGTCGCACTCCAAGCTTCCGCTCCTCGTTTTCTCATCCTTCTTGCTCTGTCCCTTTCCCCTCTGCCTGACCATGTGCCATCCTGCCCCTGTCGTGGGCTGTGCGCATGAAGGCGGCGCTGCCTCTATTCGCTTTCCCCCTCTCCTCTTTCATGTTCCCCTGTTGCTCTTCCCTCACCCGCCTCTCAAATCCGCCCCTGTCATACGCCATCCAGCCTCTGCCATGGGCGGTGCGCATGAAGCGAGCGCTGCACGCTGCCGCTGTTCCCGTATCCCTTCCCCCCCTCCTTCTCATCTCCATTCCTGTTCCCCCCTTGCTTCCCCCCTTTCCCCTGCCCTTCCCCCCTGCCAAGCGTCATCCAGCCCCTGCCATGGGCGGTGCGCATGAAGGTGGCGCTGGCGCTGCACGCGGCCGCTGTTCCCGTAACCACCCGCCTCACCCCCCTCCCCTTCTTCTCATTTCCATTCCCGTTCCCCCCTTGCTCCCCTCCTCCCCTTTCCCCCTGCCAGGCGCCATCCAGCCCCTACCATGGGCGGTGCGCATGAAGGTGGCGCTGCACGCGGCGCAGGGCTTAGCGTATCTGCACGAGGAGGCGGACCGGCAGATCATCTACCGCGACTTTAAGGCGTCCAACATTCTGCTGGACGAGGTGCGCGCGTGTAGCGGGTCGTGTTTGTAACGAGTACGGGGGAGATTAGTGTGTCTAGAGGAGTATCCACTCTGAGGAATTGGCCCGGCAGGTCATCCACCCACAACGCAAAACTCTTGATTGCTTTTCAAAACTCATTGCATTCCACGCCCATTCTCCCCCAACCGTATGCTCAAATCCCTATTACACGCCTCCCCCATTCCCCCCCTCTCAGGACTTCAATGCAAAGCTCTCTGATTTTGGGCTGGCAAAGGACGGCCCCGAGGGCAGCCAGACGCACGTGTCAACGCGGGTCATGGGCACATACGGCTACGCCGCCCCCGAGTACATGATGACCGGCCACCTCACCGCCAAGTCAGACGTCTACAGCTTTGGAGTCGTGCTGCTCGAAATGATTAGCGGGCGGCGGGCCATGGAGCCGGAGTTCCCGAGGCGGCAGCAGAATATCGTCGAGTGGGCGCGGCCGTTTCTGGTCGATCCAACGAAGATGCTGCTCTTGGTGGATCCGAGGGTGGGCGGCGAGTACTCGGTGAAAGGCGCCCAACGGGCAGCGGTTTTGGCACGCAAGTGTCTGAACAAGGACCCGCACGCGCGGCCGCTAATGTCGGAAGCGGTTCGGGTGCTTTCTTCGATTCAAAACTTGACGGATCTTGCGAGTAAGCTGGAGCAGGCTCAGCGGCTACACGGTGCTTAGTTAAGCGTTCCTTGGTGTGGGAACCAGGCATTCTTGTGAAATGATAGAGGAGCAGAATAGGGCTGGATTGAGAATTCAGGTTGCCTCCGATCATGGTCTATTGATACGGTTGCTGGACTAGGTATAGAACCCACTGCTTGCGTCCTGCGGGCAAAGAAGTTACTTGCTAGTGGTCGTACGAGCGACCATGCAGGAATGTATAGAAGCTTTGCTCGTTGCAAAGCATGGTAGCTAGAATCTGTTGGTATAACCGTGCCTTTTTGGTGCAAGTGGGTAAGCCAAGCATTGTGCAACGTGTGCCCTGTTTAACGTCGACAATCCTCCACTTGAGCAGGTATTTCCTGCATATTTGCATTCCTGCTGACCCAACATGTTGCCGGTGTGCCATTCCAAGAACCACTATATGTACATATGACCTATGATATTGTATACCCAGCTCCCCATGCCACGGAGTTGTGTACCGTACGTGTCTGTATGCATTAACGCTACCGTACGTTATTAAATCCGAATATTTTGTGGTGCTCGCCCGGAGCTGGGTGTAGTTGTCATAAATTGCGAAAGAGAATTGCGCGAAATAACGGATAACGAGAATGTGACTCGACGAACCGACAATTCAATGAAGGCACGCGATTATATAGTGCTTAGCCTAGCTTGGAGGGAACCACAGGGCTACGAGGTTGGGTGCAGGTTTGGCCATCCGGGGAATCCGAAAGGCGACGCGGAGCAGCATCGGAAGCGTAGGCGTCGGCCGAAACATGCGAAGTCTAAAATGTCGGGGTAATACGCGCAGCAGTAAACCCTGGTAAGGAAAAGGGAAAACTCCTTACAGTAGTTGTGGTACTGGTGATCATCTACGCGCCTGAAAGAAAACATCAGCACTCCCACGCTTTACATGTATTGCTAAGTGTCTGTTGTTTGCCAATGTAAGAAATTTTATCGACATTCCTAACCGCGACCACCAACATCGTGTACAGCAGCAGCCGTTGTTCGCCCGTTACTGCTAACGGGGCTTCGCCAGCTTTGCGCGCACTGTTTCATCAAACCATGCACTGCTGGCCCAGCCGAGTCGGCTTACGCATCTGGGCTAGCCCGAACCTTGATGCCAGCCTAGCACTAGCTAGCGGGCAAGCACCGCGTAACCGCTGCATGTTTTCGTACATAAGTATTTGCTCATGCCTTTGCCCATACTTTGCATCTTTTGCCCACATAGTGCAATCCTCTATCTAGTTCCATTGCACCAGTAACAGCTAACTGCACATGAATAATCACAACAGAACAGCTGTAACAAATGGTGCACTGCTGTGGACCTGGCACTAGTAAAAGATCCTCGTAACTCCGCGAGTTGGTTATTTATTTCCAGCCCCGGAACCGTGTTCAGGACAACCGACACCTCTTATGACATGGAATGGAATGTAGACCCCGCCAAGTTCAAGAAAATTGCCTGAACCCCCTTTCGTTATAGGGTTTTCTGAGTTGGATTACGGCCACGGTGCCTGGGAAGGGACAGGGGCAAGCTGACAAACTGCGGAACGAACTGCCAATTCTGCGGTTCACGTGACGAGATTCACCGAGGGCCGCTCTCAGCCACTTAGACAGCCCCGAAAGGATGGCATTTTGAAGAACATTTGCAAGAGCAACTGGGCAACCAATCGGAGGAGCAAGATGGCTTGTGTGGTGTTCAATTCCCTGCGCTTCGAAAGCGCAGAAAACGATTTTCCACCACATTTTTCCGTGCAAAGATAAGACGGGCACCGATGCTTTCCAGTTTCTCGCGTTACAGTTGCGCAGCAATTGCTTTTATCACGTGACGGATCTGTAAGGCTCGATTGTCCCTCCTTTTGAGAACAAACAAGCGACGGATTGGCTAGGGTGAAAAATGAAAGGCGATTTTTGCGACGTTTGATAAAGCTTAGACATTAGCTTTATGACAGTCTCTGAACCAGTGCCTTGTGATAAGGTCGGAGCAATTCTGACCGAAAATGTTATGACCAGATCTGCCATACCCAATACAGATTCGGTATCCGAATGGTGCTGGCAACTTCACGTGGTCGCAAGCGCTCACACAGGACTCAGGTCAGGTCACGAGGATGACGAAAGCTTCACACACCGCCATTTGGGGCTGCCAACAGACACGACAGCACAAGCTGGCCCGAAACCCTTTCCGTGCACAGATTCGTGTACAGTTGGTGTAACATCGATTAAGGCAGTGCAATTGGTCTCCCTCACACAGTAGAATTTTACATCCAAGCCGTTGATCCGTATGTTTGTGTCCACCCTGGCACTCTAGCTACGACATTCATTCGGAACTGACCAGGCACTGATGTCATCTCCCACCAGCGCTGGACACTCGAATGAAACCCTAGCTCCATCCAGCGCCTCGGAACTTTCTTTCGCACTTTTTTGCCATATCTTCCCGTTCAGCTCGCGATAAAGCGATATTTTGCTGAACGCCGAATGGATGGCTGAACACTCTGCCGCGCTGGATTGCACTTTTTTGCCCGCCAAACCCGCGTGCTCATCTGTGGTTGGATATTTTCTCCTCTTCTCCTCCTTCCCCCGATTCCATCGAGATTGCATGAACAATTCCCCACTCCGCCCGCAACGCCTTGTCCAGATCTCCTTTTCGCGTTCCGCTTCTCCTCGGCATTCCCGTGATTTTTATCAGCAACGCCTTGCCCAAACCCCCCCTATCATCCTTTCCCCTCCCCTCCTCCCCAGGTTAACAACCCCCCCCCACCCCCCCCCCCCCCCCCCGCCCCAACCAGCTCACCTTTTCACTTTCTTCCGCTTGGTTGCATGCTTGCTGCTTGCTTCAGGATAAGGCTGACAGTCTTTCCCTGCCATTCGTTTCTTTGATTCACCAACACAGCAAACAGCTAGGAAGTCCTCAGGTCACTTGCAAAGCAAAACTGGATCTAGATTGTTTTCTTTCACGCCTTGTTACTCGCGGAGCTCATGACTGGTGTCGTTGCTAGAATATGCCCGAGATTCGTTGGTACGAAAAGTACATAGAATAACTGTTGACATAGATTTCCGCCACCTAGTGCGAGATTAGAACGCGTAAGCAGATGGGTCGTCAGAATAGTAATGGCGGTCGTAGCCGGAAGGATCAACCTGAGGCTGTCGCGCTGTTCCCGCCGATACATGTTAGCCACGCGACAGCGGCGTCGGGTCCTAAGGCACCTCCGCGGAACAAGATGGCACTCTATGAGCAGGTTTCCGTTCCATCGAAGCGATTCCGGCCGTCGCCTCACCCTCTTGGAGGACCAGCTATGAACGCACCCTCGACGTTTCATCCCATGCACAGCGGGGTACGTGGTCCGTGCGAACGATGCTCGCTGCAGGCGACGGTCGGTTCCAGCCACGTACGCCGACCGTCTAGTTTTGAGGCGCCTCAAAACTAGGCGACGGTCGGTTCCAGCGGCGTACGCCGACCGTGCTTTTCAAAAAGACTTCAACTTGTCCAATCAAGGCTCGAGGTGCTCCGTAGTTAGCTATGTACGAAGTTCCGTCGGAGAAATGATCGATGTATATATTGAATGAGTCGCCCGCGAGTCTAGCTTGCTTGTATGATGACATAGGAGTTCTCACCATTCCCATGCTCCTCCTTGATAAAAAAAATTGCTCAATTTCCCTCTCCCTTCCTCACTATCCCCTGTCGTGGCCTTCGTATCCACAGTCGACGGTCCCGTTGATGCCTCCCAACTACGAGAGTAAATTCTCGTACGCTCCGTACGCCGTCCAGCAACAAGCGCAGCAGCAGCAGCATCCCACCAACAGCTTCAAAACCCCTCCGCAGGCCGGCAGCATGCTTCAATCCCACTCCGGAATCGCCAGCAGCACGGGAAGCTTCTCCGAAGCCGCCGCCTTCCAAAGCGCCGGCCAGGCTGCCTTGGCCGCCTGCGCCGCTCACAGCGCTGGCGGCGGCGCGGGAACTGCTGCCGCCCGGCACGGAGGCGGAGGAGCAGGCGGCGCGGGGAGCATCGTCCAAGGAAGAAGCGCGGGTGTTGGCGCGGGAGCAGGAACGGGAGCGGGAGCAGTGAGCAGCAATAGTAACAGCCACGGACAGTCGACTCGAAGCGACGCGGATCAATGGGCGTTCTGGGCTTGGCAGCAGCGCCACATGCCGTGGGGGAACGGCGCGTCCCCCAGCTCCCCCTCTCCGCCAGTCATGCCGCAAGCCTCCATGTCCCCCGCGAGCGCCGCCGCCGCCGCAGCCGCCGCGATGGCCGCGTTTGCCGGCGCCAGCAATAGCAAGGACGGCAGCACGGCGGCGATGTACCCGCTGCAGGCGCTCACTGCCGCGTCGGGTTTGGGCGGCAGTCGCGGCGACCCGGGTGCGGCGGCGGCTGCTGCAGCGGCCATGGCGGCGGCCGGCGCGGCGTTTTTGAATTACGGAAGCGCGTCGCAAGTCGCGGGCATGGGCACGGGTACGGGCTCGGGCACAGGCGCAGGCGCTAGTGGCGCAGTTCCGCCGCTCACCCCCGGAACGTGGAATGGCGCATCGGCGGAAGGAGGCTTGGCGGGTCTCATGTCCAATTTCAGTTGGCCTGGATCGGGTAACCCGAATGCGTTACTTATGATGAGCCAAGCGCATATGTTCGGCGGAATGGGCGGATTCGGCGGAAGCTCAGGCGCGGGGTCTCCGCCCGACCGCGGGTGTATTCACGGGGAAGGGGAGGCGTCGGGGCAGCAGCAGCAAGGGCGGAGCCCGTCCGCGGCGGCTGCGCGTTCCGCCGCCAGCGAGAGGCTCGGGCGCAGGCGCGGGGAGGAGCGGAGCAGCCGTGGAGGACCCGCGCGGAGCGGAGTGGACGACGCGCGGAAAGGGACCTTGCGGAAAAGCGCAAGCACGAAGTCCGCAGGGTCCCGGGGTCCAGCGGCCACTGCACCTGCTGGTGTTATCGGCGGAGGCGGAGGCGGGGGGGGAGCGGTTGGCGCGATGTCAACGACGAGTGGGCGGAGCATGAAGAGCACGATGAAAAGCGGGGCGCGTGCTGCGGCGAAGGGCGGAAAGGGGAAGAAGCGCAAGGAGATGGCTGCTGTTGACGGTGCGGAAGCTCTGGCACAAGCGCAACAGGAGCAAGCGCAAGAGCGCGCGGAAGGATCAGCGGGAGCAGCCGCGGAAGCAGCGGGAGGAGCGGGAGTGGGAGCGGGAGCAGCAGAGGAAGAGCTGTTTCGGGGAATTGAGGTTCTTCGCGCTGCCGCCGTAGCTGCGCGGGAGGAGGAGAGGCGCGCGCGCGCCGCAGCCGAGCATCCGGGGACTGGAGTTGGCTGCGCGGCGGATTCGGCGGCGGAGGAGGCTGCAGCGCAGGCGGAAGAGGATGATGACGACGCGCGGATGGTCGCTGCGCGGGCGGACGCGGATGAGCGAACGGGCGCGGAAGAAGGAACGGAAATGGCGGAATGGGGTGGTCTGCCGGATCAGAAGGGAGAGAGCTTCGGGGAGCAGCGCGAGGCGCGGGCTCTAGGGCGCTTCCGCGCGGCTGCTGCCGCCGCTGCCGCTGCCGCCGCCGCAGGTGTTGCTGCTGGGTGTGCAAGCAGTTACCATGGCGGGGTGGTGGCTAGCGAAGGAGCCTTGCTCCTCCCTGCTGCCGCCCCTGCCGTCCCTACTCGTCCTGCTCCTGCTGTATCCGCCCCTGCCTCGTCTCCTGCTGCTGCTGCTGCTCCCGCAGGCGCGGAGGCGGCGGGAGGCATGCTGGCGATGGTGCTGGGGATGGCGGGAGGCGTGGAGGACGAGGAGGAGGAGCGGTTCCGGCGGGAGAGCAGGAAGCGGAGCAGGCGCGCGGAGGAGGGGCAGGGGCTGGGCGCGGGGAAAGCGGACGGGGAGGTCGCGGGGGAGAGCAAGAGGGGGAAGTGGGAGGGAGGGGAGGGAAGGGGGGAGATGTGTGTGGGTGACTTGATTGGTGCGGTGGGACAGAAGGAGTTTTGGCGGGTGCGGAAGGGTATTGTGAGGCAGCAGCACATATTCTCCACTCAACTGTTCGAGCTGCACCGGCTGAACAGGGTGAGTAATATTCACATGCTTCTTGCTTCTTACTCAACTGTGTCTGTTTTTTCTTTCTTTCTTTCCTTCTTTCTTTCTATTTTCTGCCTCTCCTTTTGTTCTTATGCGCCACTCCCTTTTCCTCGCTGCCCCCGCCCTTCTCTGAACGTTTACAGGTGCAGCAGGGGCTGATGCACGAACCACTGAACGCCAAGAAGGCTCAAGTGCTGGAAGATCAGGAGCACGAGCAGCAACAGGAGGAGCAGCAGCAGCAGGAGCAGTTCGACCAGGACCAGGCTTCGGTACCTGCTGCACCTTCTGCTGATGCTGCTGATGTCTCCGGCCCTTCTGCTGCTCCTACTGCTGTCCCTGGTGGTGCTGCCGCTGCTGCCGCTGCCGCTGCTGCAGCTGTGAGTATTGAGGAGCCTATCGACCAAGTACCACGCCCCAGCCGGCGTGCTGGCAGCAGCAGCAGGGCGCAAGAAACCGCCGCTGCTACGGAAACCGGTGTTCCTGATGTGCTTGAGAAGTCAGCTTCAACTGACGCAAATGCAGCAGCGACAACACCATTGTCAGCAGCAGCAGCAGCAGGCGCAGCAGCCGCCGCCTCTGCCGCCGCCGCCGCAGCAGCAGCAGGTGCAGGAGGTGGTATCCCCAGCACGAGTGGCATGAAGCCTCCTCCCGCCCGTTCTCCCCACAACCGTCCACGGGTATTCTCAGCTCCTCGCCTCGCCACGATTCCTGCCTTCCCCTCTTTCACCGACGCACCGGCCGCTGCTGAAGGCTCCTCTGGAGCAGCTATGTCAGCAGCAGCCATGCCAGAAGCACCATTCTCTTCTGCGTTGGATTTGTCAGGTAAAGCAGGGGCGAGTGGAGTCGCAGCGGCGGCAGCAGCTGCTGCAGCAGCAGCGTCGGCAAGCAAGGGTGGTGCTGCTGGCTGGTCGTTCCCTCTCTATGCTCGCTTTGCCAAGAATGCTGACCCGGCTGCTGCTGCTGCCGCTGCTGCAGCCGCCATTGCGGCTGACGCTGCTGGTGCCAAACCTGTCGCCGCGCCTGCTGCAGCTTCGGACAACGCCACTGCTGCCCGAGCAACGGCTGTCACCCCAGCCTCGTTCGGGTTCATGACAGGCTCGGAATCTGCCGGACCTGAAGGCTCGGATGTGTTTGGTTTGAGCTGGGGGACCGTGCCTGAGTCAGAAGCTGGGGAAGGGGAAGGGAGCAGAGGAGAAGGGGAGAGGAAGAAGAAAGAGGGGAATTCATCAAAGTATGCTGCTATGCTTAGTGCCATGGGCCTGCCTGCTGATTTTACCATGCCTGCCAATCTTGGCATCCCTGCCAATTTTGGCATGCCTGCTAATTTCGGTATGCCTGGACAAGCAGGCATGGCTGAGGCCATGGGCTTGAGCTTTGGCATGGGAACGAACATGAACATGGGGATGGGCATGGGCATGGGGACGGGTATGGGCATGGATATGGGTGCTGCTGCCGGGGCAGGTGCGTCTGCATCTGCTGCTGCTGCCGCTGCTGCTGGTGTTGGTGGTGGTGCAGGTGTGGGTGCATCTGGGGCAGGCCCATCTGGTGCAGGTGCATCTATGATGATGGACATGACAGCCCTGCACATGTACATTGCACAGCAGCACCGCATGCAGCAGCAGCTGCGCCAGCAGCTGTTTCAGCAGCAGCAGCAACAGCAGCTCCTGCTTCAGAGCCTCGGGGGACTTTTCCCTACCTTCCCTCCGGCTGCTGCTGCCGTCGCAGCTGCTGCTCCTGCCGCTGCCGCTCCTGCTGCCGCCGCTCCTGCTGCCGCCGCTGCGTCGCATGCTGCTGCCACTGCTGGTGCAGCAGATGCTTCTGTAGAAGAGCCTGGTTCTCAGGCGAGGGAGAGAGGAGGAGGAGCTGCTGGAAGTGCAGCAGCATTTCCAGCATGGCGCTCGGCTGTAGCAGCATCTGCGAGGGGAATGGTTGAGGACAAGGCACAGGGCAACTCGCAGGACAGGACGCAGCAAAGAGATGAAAACGATGATGGATCAAGGCATAAAGATTTGGAGCTGAGCCTTTTCCCTTCTTTTGAGAACACGCGGAACTAGTTCATCGTGTTTATGGTATATCTTACCAGTATACTGCATATTAGGAAATTTGAGTGTGCATAGTTTCTGTAATACAAATGAGATGTTGGTGTAACTAAGAAGCTGCATGAAGAGAAATGGACGTTCACGCTCCCGCAACATGAGTGGTTCACGTTTTCCCGAGTCACGTGATGCTGCAAAGTCAGGCAGGGAACTGCACACGCGCGAGAATGCCATTCGTGCACTGTAGAAGCACTGTCACATTGTACTGCGTGAATTGCCATAGTTTTGGGGCTACGTTGGCAGCTGACACCTTCATCATCCGCGTTCTCAAGCTCGGGAGGGAGGACTCGGAGCCATGCTTTTGAGCAGATAAAGGGTCGAAAAACCTCGGCTGGAGTGGTTTCGGGTGCAAAATATCGACACAACAGCTCAGCAATTCTCAGGTACACCGCCGGTTTCTTTCGGGGTACACGTAGTTCTGTGCAGAGCACATCAATGCCCGAAAGAATCTGAAACCACGTCGGTAGTAGCAGGACAATCATTTTCCGGTTCGCTTTCTCGAGCTGTCACGTGATGATAAATGAACTGTTCGCCCCTCATTCAAGAAAATATCCTGCTTAACACCACGCGCGATGATGTGGCGGATGTATTCCTTCACTGAATAAGATCCGCACTCCGCCATTGCTATGCATCTCGTGTACACTGTTTGGTCACCATCACCGTCGATGCCAGCGCCACGGACACGCAGACAGTTGAGATGAGCTGAACCGTTGAGGCCTCCCATGGTCGTGGAACGCTGTAAAGTGCATTGTCAGATGAACGGCCTACGGTGCAGTTCTGGGTGAGCGAGAAGCCATTGCCCTACCATTCCCAGTTACGGCCCCCACATCACACGAGTCGCAATGAGCCATCCAATCAGAGCTGGGGTCATTGCAGCCCTTGAGACCTTAGCGGATTTGACGGTCCTAGTCGAGCCACTTCTTCCGGAACCTAGAGCACATTCATTCTAAGCAGTAAGAAATCGCCATGTGGGCATCTTTGCAGGCCATTGAACGGTAAGGGCGCTTTAGAAGGAATTGTCGTCGTCAGTGCTGTCCTTGATTCTGCTCCTCGTTCTGTGCTGCCATCCAGTGCTGTTTTGGCGACGAGCTGGTGTGGACGAACCCAAAGGACGCAGTTGGTTGGCTGACGAGGCTTGTGGCGAAATGTCTCCCAGCTTGGCGACTTTCTATCCAGTGCAGATCCCGAGCCTAGGAAACGAATCACAAACTGGGGAAAGTTTTGAGACTTAGGGATCCTGCCCGAAACCCAAACGCTTTCGTGTTGTCTCTTTGCCGAATGCATGTGAAAGGTAGTCCACTTCCGACGGTCAGATGTCCACAAATGCCCACGTCGTTTTTTAAGCGTTTCACGACTACCCTCCTATAGATTTTAGCAAAGCTCGACTACTTAGTTCTACATAAAGGATGTACAGATCAACCAGAAACACCCTGGACATGAGGGATGGAATCCGCTGCTTGTGGACCTCTCGTCGTCCAGGGCACCTCCTGTATCCGTCATCCCCGACTCCTAGGAGATAACGCCATGGATTTTCTGTCACTCCATCAGTCACGGATATTCATCCAGTATCACACGCCAACTGAGCTGATAGTGGTTGTCCTTCCTGCTGTTCTATCTGCTTCACACTAGCTGCACTGATAGAAGTATGCACCCTCCCTTTTTCTCAGCCCAGTTAGCACGTGTGAAACCGATCGCGAGTTTTCGACAGCTGGTAAAGCTCCACGCTCTTCGCTTATCTTAGTGATCGGCGAATTCAGTGGCCTTCAGCCGCTCTTGATCACCATTGTACAGTTGCTCAGAATTACCATCTTACAATTACTGAGGCTCGGCGTATAACAGCCGGCCAGTCACGCTCGCCGTCGAACAGCCGCCAGTTTCGGTCACCGTTTGCGACCATGGCGACGAGAGTGTCGCTCCTGCCGGTCACATCCCGCGCGTTATCTCTCGACCCGCCGAATTCGTCCAAGCGCGAGGTTAAATTCGGCGGCGGATTTCCCCATTCCCAAGAGAACGCCGCAGGAATAGACGGGCACCGGCAAGGCCTGGGAACAACTTATACCGAAACCCGAGGCGTTAATAATGAGAGCGGGAAAGCAGAAGCGAGTGGAAGCGGAGCTTTCAGCAGCTTAACCGGGGTTAGCGGAGGACTCCTTAACGGGGTCGGAAGCGTCACGGGGAGCGCCCCCGGTGACGGAGGTCGATCGGACGCGTGGTCGACGCTCCTAAGCCTGCCACGTCAGCCGCAGCAGAGCAGTCTCGGCCTTAATTTCTCCCACGGGCTCTCGTTCTCCCCTGCACCGTCTCCCACGGCCATGGGTTTCGCGCACGGTCTCTCCTTCACTCCCGCCGCCCCGCCCACGTCCGTGCCGCGATCGTCGTCCCACGGGCTTTCGTTCTCCGCTGCACCGTCTCCCACGGCCATGGGCCTTTCCTTCACTCCCGCAGCTCATCCCACGCCCGTGCCGCGATCGTCCTCCCACCACCATCTCAGTCAAAGCCAGAGCAAGAATCACAGTCAGAATCACAGTCACAACTACAGTTACAGTCACAGTAACGGTCAAAGCCCCAGTCACAGCACCAGTAGCACCCCGCCAGGAAGTGCTGGTGGCGGTAGCGGTGGTGGCGGCGGCGGCGGCGGCGGCGGTGGCGGCGGCCGCGGCGGTAACTGGCCGATGTTCCGCGGGTTGGCGGCGCGGCACGCGTCCGCCGACTCGCTCCTGTCGCTCGCGTCGTCCGAAACCAGCAGCCTCGCGTCCTTCGCGACCGCGTCGGACCGCCTGGTAGAGCAGGAGATTAATCGGCGCGCCGCGTTAGACTTCGTCACGGAGCTAGCCGGCCCGCTGCAGCCATCCAGCTCCCCCGCGCATTCCCTTTCGGGGGAGCGCACCCCACCCGCTGGCGCAACCCTCGGCGCAACCTTCGGCGCAAATCCCGGCGGAGCCTTGGCCTCTGGCGCAGCGCTTCTGAGCGCAAGCCTTAGCGGGGACTTGCCGATTACCGCCAATGAGCTCCCCGTGGCGGTGTTTGCGGTCGACCGCGACCTGGTGTGCGCGCTCTGGAACAGGCGCATGGCGGAACTGACTGGATGGGCGGAAGGGGAAATCATGCGCCTGGGGCGATTCGCGGAAGGTCGGTTTGCGGAACGGCTCTTCCGCCCCGCCAGCGCCTCCGCGCCGTTCCGCCGATGTGAGGACGTTCTCCGCGCCGCGCTCTTTGGCCGCGATATAGTCACGGCGGAGTTGCTTCTACTGAAGCGCGGAGGCAGCTGCGCGCGCGTGCGGTTATTCGCCAGCGCGCGCACCGACGCGCTCGGTGCAGTTTGCGGTGCAATCTGCGCCGTCATTCCCGCGTCTTCGGGAGGCGGGGGAGGGTCGGCGGCCGCGCTGAGCGCAACTTCCGCGCATGGCTTCGACGTGGACGGCGGCGGCGGCGGCGGCGGGAGTGGAGGCGGCTTGCCGCCATTTGCGCCGTCCTTTGCGGCGGGCGAAACCGAGGAATGGCTGCAGCGGAACGCGTCGGCGGGGAGTCTGTACGGCATGCACTCCGTGGACGAGGAATCCGTGGGCGGTGAGTGGTGTTGAGGGGCGGTGAGTGGTGCCTCGTGGTGGTGAGCGGCGGAGAGTGGGAGAGTGGGTGAGTGAAGCGCGGTGAGTGGTGACTAGTGGTGGGGGGGGGCTGTGCGTGGTTGTGAGTCAAGGTCTTTGTCCGTTTCATACCCAAGGCCGCTCAGTCCCAAGCCTTAAGTAGCGCTGTAAGCTTCCCCTCCTGGTCTGTCAGTCTCCCTTCATTCTCTCCCTCCTCTGGCCACATTTTAACCTCCTCCACCAACCTCACCCTTATCCATCCCTCTCCATCCCTCTTCATCCCTCTCCACCCCTCTCTCTCACAACCAGACGACAGCGACGCGGCCAGCAGCTGCAGCGACCTCTACCAGCTCGGCTCCGCCCCGTTCGGCAGCAGCGCCAGTTGCGGCGGGAATTCCGGCGGCTCCAGGCGCCACGTCATGGAGCCCGTCTCCGCCAGCAGGCGCGCGAGCGGCGGCGGCGGGGGTTTGCGCGGAGGTTACGCAGGCGCGGGGAATGCGGGCGCGGGCCAAGACTCAGGCGCGGGGGCGGGAGTAGGGGTAACTGGGCGGCTTTCGTCGTCGTCTTCTGAGCGACAGCTGTCGGGGAGGCTTTCATTGGGGGAGAGCGAAGCTGCGACCGAATCAGGGGCGGCAGGGGGAGCGGGAGGAGCGGGAGGAGCAGGAGGGGCGGGAGGGGCGGGTGAAGCGGGAGAAGCAACTTTGCCTTTGACTCCGCCTGCTACGCCGCCATCTGCAGCGCCAGTTGCGCCGGCGTTGCCTTCCCCTGTCAATTTGCCCACTCTCGTTGGTTTGGGCGCGGAAGGCGTGGGCGGGGGCGCGGTGGGAGGCGCGGGGGTTCACTTAAAGCCCGTACAAACGAAGCTAGCTATCCGACGCTCGTGCGAGCTGCCGAAATATGGTGCGTTGCCGTTCCAGTGTCCTTGTATCGAAGCTCCTGTGCCATACGCGTTTGCAGGCCTTTCAAATTGCTGCCAGGTCTCTTAACCTTTCTGCCTTACCCCCTCTTCCCCCCCCCCGTTCGCCTCCAACTCCCCCTCTTTCCCTTGTTGTTGGGTCGATTTTCTTGCAGCTTATTCCTCTCTCACGGGCATGCGTCGCAATATCAGCAGTGATGCCCTCAATAACGCGGACACGTCTCCATCCCACCACCACCACCACTCCCACCGTTCAGCATTCTCCTTCCAACCCGCCTCTACCACTTCCAACCACCCCACTTCCACTCTCTCCTTCTCCTCCTCCCTCTCCCGCCCGCTCTCCTCCCGGCCGTACCCCACCTCCTCTTCCTCCTCCCTCTCCTCCGCCTTCTCCCACTCCTCCTCGCACTCCTCCTCCCCAATCGTTTCCTCCTCATCCTCGCTAGTGCGTGCTCTGATAGCGGACGGAGTGACCACAGGGCGCAACGACCTGGCGCACCAGCTGGAGCGCTGTGGGTTTGACGTGGTCAGCGCCACGTCAGTGCAGGAAGCTGCGTGGAAATACGAGCAGGCCGCTCTCCACGGCTCTCTCCCTTCCCCCTTTCCTACTGCTCCTCCTCCTCCTCCTGCTCCCTCTGACGCCGCCTCTGCTGCTGGCGCTGCTGCAGCTACCAATTCCGCCGCCGCCGCCGCCAGCGCCGGTGCCCCTCATGCCGCCGCTGCGGGTGGTGGGAGTGGGGGAGTGCTGTTCTCCCTGGTGGTCCTGGATCTAGAGCAGGCCACGAGTAGGGCAGGGCAGGCGGCCATTCGGGATATCCGGCGTGCCGAGCGGGCGCTGCTGTCTCGCCGCCTCACTCTCGGCACTGCCAAGCCTGCTGGCACTTCCGGCGCTGCTGCTGCTGGTGCTGCTGCTGGTGCTGGGTTTGCTGGGGCTGGGGCTTCTGTTGGTGCTGGAATTGCTGGTGCTGACGGGGACATGAGGTCTCTGGGAGGGCTCAAGGTGCTGAGTGAAGAGGGCGAGGAGGACGAGGGGAGGAGTGAGGAGGGGAGGAGCGAGGTGAGCGAGAGTGCAAAGCAGCGATTGGAGGGGGAGCAGGAGACGGTGCAGCAACAAGAGCAAGCGACAGTGGAACCCTTCTCCTCCTCCTCCCCTGCTGCTGCAGCTACTGCTGCTGCTGCTGTTGCCGCTGCTACTTCTGCTCCTGCTGCAGCAGCTTCTGCATCATCGCCGGATCGCACGCTCATAGTGGTGGTGGCCGATTTGAGCCGGTACGACCAGGTGGGGTTGGATGCAGCAATGGAGCAGTGTGTGCTGGCGGGGGTGGACGCCTTTATTCCCCGCTCCATGCACCTGCAGCAGCTGCGGACAGCGCTTAGGAGGCTCGGGCTGCACAGCAAATATCTCGTTCTGCCCGCCTCGCTGCCCTGCGCGCATTCTGCTGCGAATGTTTCTGGTGTTGCGGTTGGTGCTGGTGGTGTTGGTGTTGGTGCTTGTGCTGGTATGGGTGTTGGTATGGGTGTGGGTGTGGGTAGTGGGATGACTGGGTTGCATTATGGTGTTGCATCGTCGCACCATGTGTATGGTCACCAGGGAGCACATTTGTTACGATGAATCGCTGGCGCATTACTTCTAGGTGATTAGGTTGGTGATTTGCAGAGTCACCTACTGACTTCGATTTTGCCTTTGTAGTGCTGATTATGATTGTTTAACATAACTCGTATCATGTTCTATTCACACCCGAATCCACACGACATGACTCATTCGTTTACAAACGAAGCCGTTCTTTAGTGAGATATCGACATTCTCGAGGATTCTTCTGAATGACACGGCTCGCGTATGCTGCTTGAAAATTCGTCTGGCAATTCTAGTTTCCATTCCACTCCATAATTGAAGTTATTGGATTCAGTGCTAGGTGTTCCGCCGTTGAGCTCCTCTCCGCCGCGCAATCACAGCTACTGTATGTGATCTGCGGCGCTACGATGCGCATGGAGTGAGCAACAACACAATTTGCATCGCTTCGGTTGCGAGCAGTTGCGCACTGAGGAAGTAGGTGTGACTGAAGCGAGAGAGAGCCTGGCAATCGAATCTACCTCGCAGGCTCGTCTGATGTGTTGATCCGTTCTTCAATTGAATAATAGGACTGGCTCATCCTGTCGCGAATGGATGCAAGATAGTCAACGATAGTCAACGATAGTTGACGAAATAGTCAACGAAAGTAAACGCGGTTGTCCATGGAGTGGGGTGGTGACGATGAGGACCTCTCTCTCTTCGATAATCAACGATAATCAACGAAAGTTGACGACATAGTTTACGAAAACCAACGAAATAGTCAACGAGGTACGTAGCTGATGGAGTGGGGTGGCGACGATGAGGACCTCTCTCTTTTCGACGCGGACGACGACGATTTCCGCGAAGCTGCCGAAGTGCGGCCGGCCCTCCTTTCTTCAATCGCCCGGCCGGCGGCGCCCTCCGCGCAGTCTGCCGTCGCAACTTCCGCCGCTTCCGCCGTGACTCCCGCCGGAATTCTAGCGGCACCTCCCGTTCTCGCGATTTCCGAACCAGCCCAGCCGTCGCAAGCGGAATCTATTCCCGGGGCTGCTCCGAAGCTGATTGGGGAGGGTCGGATTGGGAAGTGGGAGATCGGCGGAGCAAGCGGAACAGGCGGAGCAGGCGGGGAAGAAGCGGAGGAGGGTGGGGGTGGGGAGGGAGAAAGCGGTGCAGTGGAAGAGAGTGGGTTTGGAAGGGATGCAGAGGAGGACGAATCGCACAGAGAGGGAGGCGAAACGGAGAAGGCTGGTGAAAGGGAGGAGAGCTTGTTGGATGGAGAAAAGGGAGAAGTGGCGACCGGGTTGGGTGAAGAAGAGGAGGCGAGTGGGTTGTCGCATGTGGGATCTGCTAACGAAGACTCTCCTAATGGGCTTGCTGCTGATAGCGAGGGGTTTACTAATGAGGATGAGTCGGAACAGGAAACGGGCGGGCGGGAAGGTGAGCTGGAGAGTGGGACGAATGCCGCAGGGGGAGCAGGGGGAGCAGGGGGAGCAGAAGGGACTGGGGGGCAAGGTCAAGGGGACCGGCGGACAGAGGGCGGGAGAAAGAAGAAGAAGAAGGGGAAAGGGAAGGGGAGAGGGCAGAACGCCGGTCCAATTGCTGCACCAGCAGCAGCAGCAGCGCAGAATACAGACGCAAGGGTAGATCTGGCACGACCCAATGACAACCCAAGGGGCACTTCCGGTGCAGTGGGAATCATCCCCACAGCGGGGGCTCCCCCCACAGGGGGGATTTCCGCAGCAACCCCAGATGCAGGTTCGCTGAAGGAAGAATGGCAGCAGCAGGTGGATGAGTTGAAGACTGCTTTGGCCCGGGAAAAAGATGCTAGAGTGGCTGCAGAGGAGCAGGCGAAACGGGCAGAAAGAAAGGCTTCTTGCGCGGCCGAGGAAGCTGCCCGGGCGGCGGACGGGCAGCGGCGGGCAGAGGCTGAACGGGCAGAGATGGAAAGAACGAAAGCTGAGATGCTGAAGAAGCTGCGGCATATAGTAGAGGAGGCGGTGAAGAGAAAGAAGGAGGCGGAAGAGGAGAAAACCGTTACCGAAGCTGCCGCCGCAGCTGCGGTGAAGGATCGGAACGAGGCTCGGAAGGAGCGGGATGAGGCTCGGGGAGAGAGGGACGGGGCCGTGCAGGAGAAAGAGCGGGCGGTGCAGGAGAGAGAGGCGGCTGTCGGTAAACTGGAGCGGCTTATAAAGGAGCGAGATGGAGCGGTTAGGGAGCGGGAGAGTGCGGTGAAAGAGATTACGAAACGGTTGAGTGGTGAGAGGGACGCAGCGGTGAAGGAGAGAGAGGTGGCAGTGTTACAGAGGGGGGCGGCTGTGAGGCATGTGGAGGCGGTGGAAGGGAGTGTGCGGCGTGCTGTGGGGAGATTGGGAAGGGAAGCGGAGCGGGTTGAGAAGTTGTTTGAAGGGATGTTTGGTGTGAAGATGGGTGGCGGGAGGATGGGTGATGGGAGGAAGAATGATGGAGAAGTGGAGGGAAGCAGTGGTGGTAATGGTGGTGGTAATGGTGGTGGTAATGGAGTGAGTGGTACTGGTACTGGTACTGGTACTGGTACTGGTAGGGGGGGGAGTGCCACTGGCGAGGCTAGCCTTGCTAAACCAGCAACAGCAGCAACAGCAGCAGCGGGGGCGGCAGGGGCAGCAGGGGGAGCAGCATCAGCAAAAGCAGCAGCAGAAGATGAAGAAGACGTGGTTGCAAGGTTTGAAGCAGGAGTGCAGAGGGTTTCAGCGGTTATCGAGCTGGCAGCTAAGTCAGTGCGACGGCAAAGAGAGGAGATGGAGGAGCGAGCAGTGGCAATGGCTGTGGAGGTTTCACAATTAGAATCTGATGTTGCTGATGCGAAGAGAGAGGTTGAGAGAGTGAGAAAGGAAGGGGAGGAGGAGGTGGAGCGAGTGAGAAAGGAAGGGGAGAGGAGGGTTGAGGAGGGGAGGGTGGAGGGGGAGAGATGGAGGGCGGCTGCTGAGGAGGCGGAGAGGAGAGTGAGGGAGGTTGAGGAGGAGAGGAGGAGGGAGAGGGGGAGGGTGGAGGAGTTGGAGAGGGTGCGAGGGGAGTTAGAGCGGTTGAGAGACAAGGTTGGGAGGAGCGGAAAGAATAATGGTTCAGTTGGAGAGGGGGTAGAAGGTGGGGAACGAAATGAAGGGAAGGAGGACACGGAAGGGAAGGAAGGGATGGAGGAGGAGGGGAGGGAGGGAAGCGTGGAGGAGATCAAATGGGTGGAGAGACGGTTGGAGGAGGCTGAAAGGGCGGTGAGCGATTGGAGGAGCAAGGAGAGAGAGGCACAGGGCCGCGCCATTAGTGCTGAAACGAAGCTCGCAACCAATGTGAGTGCTTGTGTGAAATCTGTGTTTGAAAGCATTTTTTTGTTTGTACCGATCCTGACCACTTTGTATCCCCTTGTTTGGGTTTCTCCAACCTTTGTTTCTATGTTCTGTTCTTTCTGTTTGCGGGTGTGGCGGTGCAGGAGAGGGAGATAGAGCTGCTGCAGCAGCATGTATGAGCAACGAGTGCATTTGACCCTAAAGAATATTTCTGTTTGTACCTACTGTCGTTCCTCTTACATGTGTGGTGTGGTGGTGCAGGAGAGGGAGATAGAGCTGCTGCAGCAGCATGTGGAGGAGGAGAGGAGGGAGAGGAAGGAGGAGATGGAAAAGAGCAGGTGAGGGAGAGAAGAAGGAATGGTTTAGGGTTTTAGGAGGTACTTGGAGGTGAAGAGGAGTGGAAGGAGGGGATGAGTAAGGTCAGGTGAAGACACACAAAGTGGGTCGAGGTCCAGATGAGATGGAAGGGGTGAATATAGAGGGTATTGCATCAAAAATACCCCACTCTCGTAAGAAACCAAATGGAAGAATTAGTGAATGCAAAATGAACTGCACCAAGGTTCATGTGGTTCGAACGCTTTCTGGTGTTTGGAACACGCCCTGAACCCCGCACCCAACCCCCATATGCCCCTCTATCCCCCCCCCCCCCCCCCCGGGATCCCCCCAAAATTGAGTTGCAGCAGGTGGAAGGGGCATTGCGCAAGGAGAGGGATGCGGGGAGGCGATTAAAAGAGACGTTGGAGGGGCGATTGCACCTTAGTCCCCTTCCCACCCACCCTTCCACCCGTCCACCCATCCCTCTCCCTCCCCCTCGCCCCCTGTGTTCCCCCAGAAACGAGGTGCAGCAGGTGGAAGGGGCATAGCGCAAGGAGAGGGATGCGGGGAGGCGATTAAAAGAGACGTTGGAGGGGCGATTGCACCTTAGTCCCCTTCCCACCCACCCTTCCACCCGTCCACCCATCCCTCTCCCTCCCCCTCGCCCCCTGTGTTCCCCCAGAAACGAGTTGCAGCAGGTGGAAGGGGCATTGCGCAAGGAGAGGGATGCGGGGAGGCGATTAAAAGAGACGTTGGAGGGATTGGAGAGGGAGGGGTTGCGGGCCGCAGAACAGGTTAGTGAGATTGGGGTTTAAGGACGATAGGAGAGGGAGAGGGGAAGGAGAGGAGAGGGATGCAGGGAGGCGATTGAAAGAGACGTTGGAGGGATTGCAGAGGGAGGGGTTGCGGGCCGCAGAACAGGTGACCGTGGGGGAGGGCTTTAAGGGAGAAGGATGCTGGCTGGCGACTGAGAGAGGGAGGGGGTGGGTGCAGCAGAGTGGAGGGCGAGAGGAGAGGCAGAAAGGAGAGGTCGAGGGAAGGGACAGGGAAGCAGGGAGACGTTGAGAGATGCGTGGGAGGGCAGAGGGAGGGGGTGATGCAGCAGAGCAGGGGACTGTGGGGGAGGGCTTTAAGGGAGAAGGATGCTGGCAGGCGACTGAGAGAGGGAGGGGGTGGGTGCAGCATAGAAGGTGAGCGTGGGTGGGGGAAGCCCATAGGGGACTTAGAAGTCGATAAGCCTTATGATGACTCAATATGCCTCTTCGAGAGTGAGTGTGGGGGGAGCGTAGTTTTGAGTCAACTCAAATCGAGAGTGAGTGTGGGGGCAGCGATAGGGGACTTTTGAAGAATCAATAAGCCTCTTCGAGAGTGAGGGCGAAGAGGTTCATTTGAGAGTGAGGGCGAAGAGGTTCATTTGAGAGTGAGGGCGAAGAGGTTCATTTGAGAGTGAGTGGTTCTCACAGTCGGCTCATTTGACGAGCGTCTCTCCATTCCACGCACCCCACCCCCATCCCCTCACCCACTTTCAGACCATAGCACTTCAGGCAATTCTATCAGAATGTGAGGTGCAGGCAGGCGGCAATTCTTTCAGAGTGTGAGGTGCAGGCGGGCAGATTGCGAGAGGAGAGGGGCGAGAAAGGAGGAGGGAGGAGCAGACCATAAACGCTTCACCATCCCCCCCACGCACTCTCCCCCACGTCCACCCACACTCAGATGGCGGCACTTCGAGTTTTGAGTCGACTCAAAACTCGACTCGAGTCGACTCAAAACACGTCCACCCACACTCAGATGGCGGCACTTCGAGTTTTGAGTCGACTCAAAACACGTCCACCCACACTCAGATGGCGGCACTTCGAGTTTTGAGTCGACTCAAAACTCGACTCGAGTCGACTCAAAACACGTCCACCCACACTCAGATGGCGGCACTTCGAGTTTTGAGTCGACTCAAAACACGTCCACCCACACTCAGATGGCGGCACTTCGAGTTTTGAGTCGACTCAAAACTCGACTCGAGTCGACTCAAAACACGTCCACCCACACTCAGATGGCGGCACTTCGAGTTTTGAGTCGACTCAAAACACGTCCACCCACACTCAGATGGCGGCACTTCGAGTTTTGAGTCGACTCAAAACTCGACTCGAGTCGACTCAAAACACGTCCACCCACACTCAGATGGCGGCACTTCGAGTTTTGAGTCGACTCAAAACACGTCCACCCACACTCAGATGGCGGCACTTCGAGTTTTGAGTCGACTCAAAACTCGACTCGAGTCGACTCAAAACACGTCCACCCACACTCAGATGGCGGCACTTCGAGTTTTGAGTCGACTCAAAACACGTCCACCCACACTCGGATGGCGGCACTCCAGGCGGTTAAGGAGGAGGCGGCACCCACCCACCACCCTCCTCCCCGCATGCACGCACCCACCCACCACCCTCCTCCCCGCATGCACGCACCCACCCACTACCCTCCTCCCCGCATGCACGCACCCACCCACCACCCTCCTCCCCGCATGCACGCACCCACTCCTTGTCTCAGATCGCGGCACTCCAGGCCAGCTTATCGGAGTGTGAGGCGGAGGCGGGCCGATGGTGGGAGGCAGCCAAGGAGGTGGGAGGAGCAGAGCAGACTGCATATGCTTCCGCAGCGCCCCAGTCATGAACCCCCACTCCCCCCCACACCCACTCACAGATTGCAGCTCTCCAAGCAAGTCTAGCTGAGTGTGAGGCGGAGGCAGGCCGATTTTTTAGTCGACTCAAAAATAGCCCCCACTCCCCCCCACACCCACTCACAGATTGCAGCTCTCCAAGCAAGTCTGGCTGAGTGTGAGGCGGAGGCAGGCCGATGGCGCGAGGCGGCCAAGGAGGAGGCAGCAGCGGGGAGTGCAGTGGCTGAAGAGATGGAGGAGATGCGCGGGCAGGTGAGGGATGAGGGGTAGGGGTGAAGTTGTTTTGCAGGAGGGGGGGGTTGGTGGGAGGGGCAATACACAGGGCACAGGGCTGCCAAGGAGGAGGCAGCAGCTGGGAGTGCAGTGGCTGAAGAGATGGAGGAGATGCGCGGGCAGGTGAGGGAAGAAGGGATGCATGATTGCATTAGAGGGCTGGGCGCACACACTGTCACACACACGCACGCACACGTGCTTGCACACACACACACACACACACACACACACACACACACACACACACACACACACACACACACACACACACATGCCATGAGGCACAAGCCATTTGCACTCAACCGCTTTCAACTCCTTCCAAATCCCCCCCCCCAGCTTCTTACGATGGAGGGTGAAGCAGAGAAATGGCTAAGGGCAGCCAAAGAGGTACAAGCCATTCACACTCAACCGCATTCAACTCCTTCCAAATCCCCTCCCCCAGCTTGTTACATTGAAGGGTGAAGCAGAGAAGTGGCAGAGGGCAGAAGAGGAGGCACACGCCATTCACACTCATCCGCATTCAACTCCTCCGAAATTCCTTAAATCCCCTCCTACAGCTTCTTACCCTGGAAGGCGAGGCCGAGAAGTGGCAGAGGGCAGCAGAGGAGGCACAAGCCATTCACACTCATCCGCATTCAACTCCTCCGAAATTCCTTAAATCCCCTCCTACAGCTTCTTACCCTGGAAGGCGAGGCCGAGAAGTGGCAGAGGGCAGCAGAGGAGGCACAAGCCATTCACACTCATCCGCATTCAACTCCTCCGAAATTCCTTAAATCCCCTCCTACAGCTTCTTACCCTGGAAGGCGAGGCCGAGAAGTGGCAGAGGGCAGCAGAGGAGGCACAAGCCATTCACACTCATCCGCATTCAACTCCTCCGAAATTCCTTAAATCCCCTCCTACAGCTTCTTACCCTGGAAGGCGAGGCAGAGAAGTGGCAGAGGGCAGCAGAGGAGGCACAAGCCATGCTGACGTCACGCGACGAGCTGGCAGCAGCAGCAGTCGCCGCCCGGGAAGCCGCAGAGCGGTCGCTCCGGGCGGCAGACAGGCGGGTGGCGGAGTTGCGTGAACGAGTGGAGGAATTGCAGCAGCAGCTAGAAGACGAAACAACCCACCGTAACGGAGCTAGGGGGGCTGAGAATGCAGGTCGGGGATGGGGGTTGAGTGGAGTGTGGGGACCAGGAGAGGGAAGGGGAGGGAGTGTGGTGGGGACAGGGCAAGGGGGAGGGGTTGCTAGCCGGCTGTGTTGCTGTTGGCCTTGGTTGTCTGTGGGAAGAGGGAGAGGAAGAGGAGTGAGTGGGGAGTCAGGCGGAAGAGATGCAGATGATGATGAAGGTAGCGCTTTGGAACAGCTGATGGTGCCACTTGTTTGAAATAGTTTGAAAGGTGCTGCTTAGTACAAGAAATGTACATTATGCAATTGTTTGAATCTGCATGGTAACCAGAAAGCGAAAGAAATTGAGGCTAGCTAGTACTGGTAGCTACCCAGAAGCACCCAGATCTCTCATCTGCTTTCACTACCAGTTCGGTATCAATCTCATAGGCAAGTCATTACGTTATGTACAAAAGTTACATGTGATTAGAAGCCAAGACGTGCCCAGCTGAGCAGAGAACCAATGAACAGACCCACCACCAGAAAAACAACCATCACCATACCAGCCGACTCGGCTCGGTCCCGAGGCACCTGGTTCGGAGCAGCCATCATAAGCAGGCTTGTCAACAACCCATTAGAAAACCCAAACGCCCCCGTGACAGCAGCAATGATGACCTCGTGCCGAGCCCATAGGGGGCCCCACCACACACAGAGTGGGTAAAGAATGTAAAACCCCCCTCTCGCCAGTACTAGTGCCACTAACACCTTCAAATAAGTCACCAGGAACACTACCGGTGCCATTTTTCCGAAGAAATCAAACACGTTGTACATGCCTATAAGGAGGATGGGGTACCATGAGCCGAGCGCGTCAGACTGAAGCTCCGCTATAAACCCCGGAAAGATAGAAAGCGTGACTATATACACTACCGAGAGTGACACTGCGTACGGCCAAATCTGCTGCATGACCTCCCACTGCTGGCGGTATATCGAGGGAGCGGAGTCGACTATAGAGGGTACATGCACGTGGAGCGAAAAGGCCCGGCCTTCAGCCAACATGGCCTCTTCTGACCGGAAAGTATGCTCCCACCAGGACACTACGCGATCCCACACCCGCCTTCCTGCCTTGCCCGTGGCATAAGAGTACCTGCCCTTGCTGATTGCCTGGCTGTGACTGTGACTATGCGCATGCGCATGAGCATATTCTACCTTATCTCCTTGACAAAGTCCGTTTTCAGAACTGTTCTCACCTTCCCTTTCCCCGTCTATCTCAGCTATCTCGCTGCTGCTTGCGCTACACCCATCCATCAGCGGAGCACCATCAGACACCGACTCTGCTTCCGACTCTGTTGCTTCTGCTGCTGCTCCTGCTGCTGTTGCTCCTCGTGCTCCTTCTACGTCTCCGGCTGTGCCTGTAACGTCCCGCGCGCGCTCCTGCTCCCACCACTCCGACTCGTCTTCAATTTGAAGCAGCTGCCGGATCACCTGCTCCTCCTCTATCGTTGCCTCTCGTTTCACCAACGGCTCTAGAGACTCGTCCTCACCCGCACCCGCCAACCCCCCCTCCGAAGCAAACTCCCCTTCCCCCTCCCTTTCCCGTTCCTCCGCCTGACTGTCCACCCCCACACTCTCCCCCATGCGCCCTTCCCCGGCACGTCCTTCCCCCGGCACTTCCCCCCCTCTTCTCCCACTCCCACCATGGCAGATTGCCTTTGCTGCTTCAGCGCCCGAGCCAGGCCCAGCTCGCCGAGCCTCCTTCCGAGCCTTGTCCCGAGCCCGCTGCTCAGCCTCGGCGAGCGCGGCGACCTGGGATTGGAGGAAGACGATGACGGGAAGCGAGTGGAGGCGGCGGAAGGCGAGGAGGCAGATGAGCAGGATGAGCGCGGAGAGCAGGAAGTAGAGGTGCGCGGAGAGGCGCAGGCCCGTTGGCGTGTTGGGGAGAACCGCTTTCGTCAGAATGCGCACTACGGACACCACGATGCCTGCATGTGAAGGTGGGATGTGTGGCAAACACGAACGGAAACTGAGGGACCATGCGAGTGTCAAGGAGATTCGGGAGGCAGTGGGGCCCCGGAGTACAGGCACAGGTTAAAGCCAGGAAGCGAACACGGATCAAGGCGGGATGCAGCTGATGGGATTGACTAGAGAGCTGACTAGATGCTGTAGTGATTGGATTGTGAGTGGACAAGTCGACAGGCAGGCACGGCAGGAGCAGGCAGCGGGTCAGCCGAAGCCAACCCACCACTCGCAACCTGCGCCTGACGGCACGAACGACCTGCCCAGTCAGTCCATGTGGCGCCAAAGTCAAACCCGCATGGCGAAGTGGCGGAACGCCGAGCCAAACGAGTAATCAGTATGATGGCGCGGCGGAGAATACCGAATTCGCTTCGTCGCATGCTGTGCTCCCGCACTAGAGAATTCACGAAACACTAGAAGTCTCCCCTGAAATGCCAGTAGCGTCATTTAAACCGCAGGTCGCAACACAACATACCTGAAACACTAGTCCCGGCAGCGAGGGCTTGCGTGTATCGCTCGTGCAGTTCGCCCGCCATGCCAAACAGACTCCCCTGCACCACCGCATCTATCGCTCCTGACGCCGCCACCGCCGCCACTGTCAGCGCCAGCGCCAACGGCGGCGACGCGGCGGGAGTCGCGGCCACGGCGGGACTATCTGCGTCTTGGACGGCGTTGGAAGGGATGGCGCCGGGAGCGGAGAGGGCGTCGAGCGCAGGGACGAGGAGGACGAGGAGAGTGAATGCGATGAAGCCATTGACAATGCGCGTGCGAGAGGGGACATGCTGGCCGTACCTGGAATAAAATAAGCAGAACAAAACAAAGACAAAGTGAAAAAAGAAGGTAATCTCAAAACAATGGCTTTGGTGAACAGAAAGCATGGGGAAAGGCAGACTGGAAGAAGCTGAATTCGTTGCCGCTTACTCACAACAGAACGAGAATCAGAGTACCGAGGTTGGCGAACATGTAAGCGACGCAAAACAGCGTCGCGACGTGGGCTGTCGGATAGAGAAGGTAGAAGTAATCAACGGCTGTGATGAAGGCATTCCACGGGAGGAGAAAGCCGACGCCCAGCAGCAGGAAGATGAAATAAGCGAGATAAAACCGGTCAGGCGGAGCCACGTTAGAGACCGGGATATGGTCCGCCATGAGACGCTCCGTCAGCATATTCGTAAGTATTTTATGAAACTGGATCAATCCGCGCGTCCAGATAGCATGATAGCAGTCGGAGCCCTGGTAGCCAGCACAGGCTCAAACTAAACTCAATCTGGAAAGAGGTATGTGAATTGACTGAATCAGCGCATCTGGCGGCGGATGATTGAATTGGAGGAGGAAACGAGGTGGAGATATCCGAGCGAAACACATCAGGGAGGCAAGTGTGTTCATGTACAAATCTTAAAACCAGGGTGCACATTCAACGCGGTTCGGCTTGAGATGTTGGGAAGGGGGTTTGGAGAAAAACAGTGATTGGCTCACGAGGGGCGACAAAAAAATGATTCCGCTAGAGCTTCGGGCATTTCGTAGGTGGCGGGAGGGGGTGAAATGGCGGGAGTGGGTGAAACCGAATGGCGGGAGGGATGAAACAGATTGGCGGGAGGGGGGGGAAACGAAATTGCGGGGGAGGGGGGAAACAAAATTGCGGGGGAGGGGGGAAACGAATTTCGACGGGGAGGGGGAAATGAAATTGCGGGGGCGTGGGGAAACGAAATTGCGGGGGAGGGGGGAAACGAATTTCGACTTGAAGGGGTTGAAAGCACACCTCGTAACCCACTCAGTCAAGGGATAACCTTTGATGCACATTCAGCTGAATGTGCACCCCGGTTTTAATGACTTCGTCACATGTTGTCCTCGCGAGAACTGCTCTGCTGATGACAGAAATGCCGCTGTGAAGCAGGTAATGAAATGAATCACAGGGACGCCACTTCTTTGAGGAAGCAGGCAGCACCACATCATTCTGCCATGGAGTCCATTCACTGAACTGAACACAGCTCCGAACCGAAGTTCCGAACAAAACACCACTTCAGGGAAGACCAAAGCTGATCCAAACACCTCCAACATCAGTCTTCGTCACTCAGGAACGATCGAACGGTTGAGCAGAGATGCATTGTCATTTGGTTGATTGAACGGTACAGATGAAAATTTCAGGCTAACAATGAAGCCAATCAGCAGCCATTCCGTGTGTCCCTTGCTCTATCGGCCCTCGTCACCATCGCCTCTTTTCTAATCGACGGCACAGATGCTTTGACACGTGTAAGATGGCTTCAGCCAGTAACAATCGTTATGCGTATCTAACATCCCCATACAGTGATAACATGCACGGTGAGGTGGCACGCACATGTGACACTAAGCACCTAAAGAGATTGACGCGTTTGGTGGCTACAGAAGTCTCAATGACGTGTCAGATACTGATTCGTCAATCGGGTGAAGTGATGGTGGTAAAGCGGCAGTTGGAGCCTAGAATTTTGGTGAACTACTTACTAATGCGGAGGGAGGTGTGGTGGAGAGAGGTTCGGTTGGTCATGTCACGGATGCCACAACTTTCACTCCTTAATGGTTAA